GGCCTCAGCCCAGTGGTGGTGGCCCAGGCTTTGGAGAGCAGGCCCACATCTACCCCCGCTTCTCTCTCTTTATTCTGGAGTCTCCGCACCTGCCTTCTCTGTCCTTGTCTCTCTGGGCCTGCTCCCCCGGCGCTGTGGCAAGGGGTTGGGTGGTATGGTCACTGGGGCCTTCTATTCCCTTCCTTTGGCTCCACGCACACACGGGGGTGTTCTGGGGCTGCTGGGTACCAACAGGCCAGGGCTCCATGCCTGCCCCTTGCTGGACACGGAGTGGAGTGTTGAATCCTTGCCTTGAAAATTCCTTCTGGGCTGGGCTCGGTGGCTCAGTCTGTCATCCCAGCACTTTGGGAGGTCAAGGCAAGTGGATTGCCTGAGCCTGTGGGTTCGAGACCAGCCCGGGCAACTTGGCAAGACCTCGTCTCTACAATAAATAAAAAATGAACCGGGTGTGGTAGCCCGCGCCTGTAGTTCCCGCTACTTGGAAGGCTGAGGTGGAAGGATCGCTGGAGCCCAGCAGGTCGAGGCTGCGGTGGCCGGGAGTGTGTCCTTTCTATGCTGTGTGGGCAGGCCAAGAGGAAAAATAGGTTCAGCTTCCTATTTATTTCCTACTTATTTTGGAGTAAGTTTAAGTAACTCAGAGCAATGGCAACCAGCATGATTCACTGCACTCCAGTCTGGGCGACGGAGTGAGACTCTAAATTAAAAAAAAAAACAAAAAAACCACCCCCCAAAAACAAACAAAAAAACCAAGAAAGCTCCTGGCCCTGAACTAGGACTGTGATTTCTGTGAGGGTCTCAGAAATCGTCTTCTTTCCTGCTCCCAGCCAAGCCCCGTGAAACCACCAGCTATTCTCCAGGACCCAGGATCAGGGGTGCACTCCATTCTCCTCTTCCCATCTCCCCACATCTCTGAGCTGGAGCTGGAGAGCAAGACCTGCAACCTGGGAAAGCCTGTGTCCCCAAGCTTCTGAGAGGTTCCTCCAGCAGCAGCACCAAAGTTGGGGCCTGAGGGAGGAGGTGGGAGTGGCCCTGTGGGCAGGTGCAGCAGGTCACAGGGAAATACCCAGCGACTCTCAGGCAACCCACTCCATCCTGCTGGTGCTTCAGCGGTCTCCACATGGACCCTTCTTCAGTGGACAGGGTCGGGTCTGACAAGCTGGAGGAGTCCGTGCTTGTCGGGGGTGGGGTATGCCCATGGCTTCACTCGCTACCTTTCTAGAGCCAGGAGGTGGGGGAGAGGGCTGAGTACACTCCAGTCTCTGCTTCCCCTGAAGAAGGCCTGGGAGCATGGAAGGGCCCAAGCAGCCAGGGTGGTGTGTTCCAACCAGTAGACCAAGGGTCTGAATCTACACAGGAGGGGCCAGGAAAACAGCCAGGGCTCTCCTCCCATCTAGAAGAGCTCAAGTCCTGTCCTGGAGCCAGCACTATCACCGAGGACTGGGTGCTGTGCTTCATGGACTCACCCTCACAACCGCACTATGAAGCAGGTGTAATTTATTGAACCCTCAATTCACAGCCCAGGAAACGGGAGTCGGGAGGCTAAGGGGCCGCCTGAGGTCCACAGTTGCAAGCGCTGGACCAGGATGTAACTGCAGGGCCCGCTGGCCCGTCCTCCAGGCCTCCCCATCTCCCGCATGTCCATGGGCTTTAGCCAGGGTCACTGGCTCTGGTCAGCAGTGCACTAGAGCCAGCTCTTAGAGGGCTTCCAGAGTCTACTGTTCCAATGTCTCATTCGGTGACATCAAGTTGGTAGCCTGAAATCGGTAGCCTGGAAATTGGCAAATGCTATGAATGCATTTTTCCTCCCAGAAAACCTGTTAAACACCCACCAGCACACCACTGGTCTGTGGGCACCTGGGGGAACCAGACAACACTGGGAACTGGATGAGCTGTTGTGGCCACACTGTGTGGAAGGACTAAGAACGTGCTGAATCGGGATCCTTGGGCCGAGGGCTCAGGCCTTCTCCTCTGAGTGCCTGGGGCTGTCGGGTGGTCCTGGGAAGGTACTTCCAGTCCCAGGACCAGGCTAGAGAGGCAGAAACAGCCCAACTTGGCACTGAGTGCTGGCTCTGCCATTTACTCAGCGTGGGGCCTACGGCAAGTCATATAATCTCATGGGTGAATGGGGACAAAACACCCCTGACTTCACCGGGCCTGTGAATTAAAGGTCATGGATGCCTCAAGACTTTATAAACTGAACTATGCCAGTCGGAGTCACTGGTCCTTTGCTAACCCGGCTGTCCTGGGCATCTCCCATCTCATGCCCTTGCCTATGCCCCATCCCAACCCTCTCCCCCAGCTACTGGTGGCCCTAAGTAAGGTGTAGATGGCCCAGAAGACCCCCGATTCCACAGTACAGGGATGCGCCCCTCAAACTTTCTGTCCAGCACTCAAGTCAGCTCTTTTCTCTTTCAGAACCTCCATATCACTCCTGAGAACAGAGGATTCCCATCACCGTGGGGACCTCCGTGAGGCAGACAGCAAGTGGCTGCCATGCTGGGCCACTCCACCGTCTCAGAAGTGGCTGCCATGCTGGGCCACTCCACCGTCTCAGAAGTGGCAACCGTTTACTCTTTGTCTGCACTCCTGTCTATGCTGTGTGGGCAGGCCAAGAGGAAAAATAGGTCCAGCTTCCTACTTATTTCCTACTTATTTTGGAGTAAGTTTAAATAACTCAGAGCGATGGCAACCAGCATGATTCAAGCGCCCGTGTACTTAGGAAGGCCCAAACAACCCTTGGGGTCATCAGGCTCACCTGCCCAGCCCGGGGCTACTGTTCCAGATTAGAACAGCTGCAGACATGAGACCCGACATAACGGAATGGTTCTTGCCCTCAAAACATCCCTCTTTTCTTAGGCCTCTCTGGGAGCCAGAGGGCAAGTCAGATCCAATTAAGTACAAGAACACCACAGCATTCAAAACAAGCACTATTATTTATTATAAAAGTAAATGGCCTCCATGGGCTCTGGGGGTCTTCTTTTTCTTTTTAATACAATGTGGCTTGAGAGGCTGGCTGGAACTGGACTGGCTCTCAGTGGCCTCCTCCACCACGTTGTGGAACATGCCCCGTTTCTGCCAAGTTCTGAGGGCTGACCCCACATTTGGAGCAGCGCCCTGACGGTCCCTCTCCAGCACCTGGCAGACAACAGAACCCACCTAGCACACTCGAAGCTGCATCAACCTGTGGCCCGGTCCCCAGAGAAGTAGCTGCCGGCTGGACATGGAGCAAGAGAGAGTAGGCAGAGCCCTCTCCTCCTCCGTCCTTAAGAAGCATGTCTGTCCTCGGCAGCCTACTGCAGGGAAGGAGCATCGAAGGCCCGGAGCTGTCCCCTCCCTTCCAGCAGGTTCCTACTGGGAGGTCAGAAGACACAAGAAATCAACCATCTTCTGGATGTGCTGGGGGCCGTCTTCTCTGCTGAGGGCCAGGCCCAGAGTCCTGCCTTCCGCCTGCCGGAGAGCCCACCCAGACGGCTGCCCCTGCCTGGCTCAGAAGAAAACCACTCCGCCTGTGGCGAGGTGGGGGCTGGGTGGCGTGGGGGAAGCTGAGCCCCCCACTCTGCTCTCCTTCCCACCAGAACCTAATTAAGCAGCAGCCCCGCCTTAGCAGCAGGGTCGCTTCCTGCTGGGGGAAGTCAAAAGGCTGCGGGGGAGAGGGAGGTCATGGGGCCCAGATCTAATTAACCTGCCTGCCTTACTGTCCCTGTGGCTGCATTTCCTCTATTAGCATTAATGATGCCTGGCCTGAAGCTGCCCTCCCCACCAGCGGTAGGTAGCACAGCCTGTCCCTGGGACCAATTTCCAGTCTCCGTGGCAACCGCCTCCCGAAGATGCTTTCAAGAGCTCTGACCCCGTCAGAGTTGTTGGGAGCTACAGAGAGGAAAAATGGTGTGTGGCAGAGATTCATCATGAAGTCTTGAAGCATCAAAGCCCCTGAGACAAAATAAACATTTTGTCACGCACTGGGAGGGAGGAGACAGGCTGGAGGGCTGGCCTCGGGCGGCTTAGCTCTGACCCCAAGTTCTCCTAATCCCTTCCAGGGAGGAAGTGGAAGGAGCAGCTCTGAGCCTCGTGCTGGAGCTTCAGAGTGGTGAAGAGCAGACACTACCATGCATGTCTATCAGGGCCTCTGGGGAAAAGAGACAAGGAGAAAAGGAAGCACCCGTGGGGTAAAGGGGTGCGTGGGGGGAACGGGAGGGGTAAAAACCTGGAAGGCTCAGCAGGGGATGTGAGTCCTGACAGACCAGAGCGCTCCACACTCCAGCGCCCATTGGGACTCCAGGCCAGCCCCCACAGACTCCCTGCTCAGCCTCTCATCTGAGAGGTCCCCAAAGGCTCACCTAGCAAGCAGGAGGGTGCACCTGTCTCGGCCTGCACAGCCAGGCCAGACACAGAGGGCCTGGGAGCACGGAGCAGCCAAGAATGGGACACCATGCGTCCCCACTCACACAGTATGACACTCCCAGGGAGCCAGGAACCAAGGGCTTAGGCAGGATGCCATGGGCCACCACACGCCCTGGAGCCCAGGGCTCTGTGCGCATTGCAGGCAGGACGTCCAGCCACCGTGGCCATAGAAGTCCCTCGCAGCAGCAGCCACTCAGGGAAGCAGCCCCCCCAGCTTCCTTCCTTCATAGCTGGATTCGTTTGTGGGAAGAAGGGAGGGCAGCACAGCTCTGACGGTCCCATCTGCTCTTCCTGTGGTGACATCCCAAGGTGCGGTCAAGTATTCTCGACCTTGGGGCCCACTTGCAGGTCAGAGAATTTTTTATAGATCTTACAAAACAAAAGAAAATCAAATCCAATGTGGAAAAAAATCAGAAAATAGGACTGGAGGCCCAGACTATTTCTTAGTGTTTATGACACTCAGCTGTCCACAGCTGCAAGTCTATGTCCCACAGGGAAGGGCCAATGGCCCCCACATGCAAACTCTCACACACTCACCCCGCGCATAGCCATCCTGCCTCGGGGTCACTCGGGGAAGTGGGCCTGAGAGAGGGCCACGCTGCAGCTGCAGCTCTGACAGCTGTGGCTCTGAAGCTGGGGTTAATTCTGGGGTGCTCCCAGAGTTTAGTCCTGGCAGCAGCAGAACTCTCCAGGATCCTTGGGCAGGTTCCTCCACAGCTGGAAGGGTCCAGAAGCTGGCTCCACAGCTGGCTGTTCCAGGCAGTTCCTGGGCCCAGGATGAAGTCCTTCAGTGGCCTCAAAAGTCCCACGATTCCAGCCACCGCAGTCCTGCCATTGGACTTTGGGGGTCCTGAGCCAGGGGACCGACCATCCCATAGGCCAAGGGGTGGAAGAGGTAGAAGCTGCGAGAGAAGCAAGGGAGGCAGTTGGCGACCTGTGGCTCGGCTGAGGAGCTGGAACTGACTCCTCCCGCTGGAGTTCACAGACCCCACATGCAAGGGGGCTCGGCATCTAGACACACAAAGAGGACTTACTGGATAAAGGAAGGGCTCTCCCCGAGAGGCCCAGGAGACGGCCCTTCCAGGGTCTGGTCATTAGCTGTTTGGCCCAGTTTGTCCCAATGTGAAGTTGACCCTCTTAGGCACACGCTCACAGGCCACACCCCCTCAAAGGTCAGTGATCTCAGGCAGGGGTCCATGAGATCGCAGGAGGTGGTGAAAAGGGGGCTTTCCAACAACTCTCTTCCAGAGATTCAGAGTACACCCCTTCACCCTTCCTTCCCTCTCCCTCGTGCTGCCAAGGCAGTCACTGGGACTAAAGAGGGGGCCCTTCTGGGTGTGCTGGGATGCTATGGAAGCTGGAAGCCCGCTCCCTCCCGGACCCCCTCCTTCCTGGCTGCACAGTAGGGCCACCTGGGGGCTCTGAAAACCATGGCCCCGCCTGACCCAGAGCTGCTGGGGATGGGCACAGGTAGCTTCAGAAGCACCTGGGGGACCCTCAGATGCACCCAGGAACGAAGCTCCACTGGGCCCACAGTGGGGCACACGGTGCAGGGGCGCTTACCTGTAGGCCGTTCCCAGCAGCAGGCTTAGGATCCCCACCACGTGGACAGCCCTGGCCAGGGAGGGGGAGGCCAGGCCCCAGGCACACAGCCTCAGCAGTGTGTCCCACAGTATGCCTAGTGACAGAAAAGGGACTTCTGGAACACAGGAGCAAGGAGCCACCCCAGTCAGGAGATAGAGATTCCCTCTCAGCACTGCGGCCTCTTACCACCCACCTCCCCTGGGCCAGCTCTGGGCCCGTGGGCAGCGCTGACCTGTCAGCATGCTGGAGAAGAGCATGGCAGGGAAGTAGTGGTGGAAGTAGAGAATCCGGCCCATCAGGAAGAACGGGACGTAGTGGAGCACCCAGCCAAGTAGGGCTTGGCCGCCTCCTCGCAGCAGGACCTGGGACAGCCCTGGGCCCCAAGCAGCACAGCCCGGTCAGGGGACAAGGACACCCAGTTCAGCTCTGCCCCCCCACCCCGCTTGGGGATCTGAACGAGTTCCCTCACTCACTAGGCCTTCCCTCTCTCATCTGGACCCACCCTAGCTCCTGTGGCACCTGGAAGAAGTGGCAGGCATCAGGGGCTCGAGAGCCCTGGTCAGCACCGGCTAGGGAGGCATCATGCCAAACACCAGAGGGAGGGGCTCCCTCCCATTCCACCTCCCACTTCTTGGCTGCCACATACACCTCTGAAGCAGCAGATGGGGCAAAGGTGAGGTCAGAGGTGAGGATCGAGGGGAGTGAGGGGGTGTCTGGGACTGGAGCTGTTCAGACAGGGAGATGCAGAGGCAAGGGCCTGTGTGTCTCAGCTGTGGCTAGAGGCTCCTCTCTGGCCCACAAGGACAGGGCCAGAACAACGGGGCCGAAGAGCAGCAACCGGCAGCTCTGTGTGCATGGAGGTGCTGGAGACTCTGAAAGCAAACCGCCGGGCTCAGAGCTCACTCCATCACTAGGCTGTGTCTCCTGGGGCAGCCTCTGACTCTCACTGTACCTGGACTGCCTAGTCCGTAACATGGGGTAATCAGACCCTACCCAGGGGCTGTTGGGAGGATGCAATGTGTGACACGGCACTGGGTGATTGGGGGCTGCTAGCTTTCTCAAGCTAAGGAGAACGGAAAGTGTGGGTGTCAAAGGTGAAGGACGGCCCGCCCCAGGGCGCAGTCCCCCCAGCTCAAGGTCAAGGAGGGAGAGCACGGACTGACCTGCAACCTCCGTGGGCAGCTGCGCCCCCCTCTGCACAGCCACAGCCACGACGCTCCCTGAGAGAAGGTAGAGGGCAACGCTCAGCAGGTTCAGCCACCAAACCACCTGCAGGAGGTGAGGACAGGTGGTGAGAAGAACATGGTCCCCTCCACAGGCAGGTGCTGGCCCAAGCTGGAATGTCCTACTCACCGGGTTGCCAAGCAGATAGACTCGGAAGTCTGTGTCATTGATGCCCGAGAAACGCAGGCCCTGTGGAACGGAGGTCACCTGCTGACCTGGGGCCTGGCTCATGCCCTGCCATGCCCATTGTGGGGGGAAGATGGGCACCTTTCTCAGAACATGCAAATTCTACACAAGCACTCTGGGAGGGGCGGAATCAGGACAGACCCAGAGGTGGGGCCTCCCCTGCCACCCCACACACCCACCCTCAGTCTCCACGGGCTCTTTCTGGCTCCATTTCCTGGAAGGGGCCTTAGCCTTGGGCCCTACCTGATAGTTGATAGGCCAGTGCCAGGGTTTGGACGTGAACTCATTGTCCTTGGGTTTGAGGCCATTGTTCCCCTATAGGAAGGTGGCAGAGAAAAGCTAATCAAGACAGAGACCCAGCTGGCGAGGTGTGGGTGAGGTGTGAGTGCAGTGTCTCTGACCAGGGCCAAAGCAGAAACTCTGAGTGCCTGGACCTGGAAAAGCTTACTTTAGCCTCGCATTTCTCAACTTCTTTTTCCATGACTGCCCCTGTCCTGGCCTTTTTAGACATTTTTTTCTAAATTCCCTTCACAACATTTCAATGCTAGAGCTATACGTATCACTGCTATGTACCATATGAACACCTGTGCTTTGTGCATAACAAAGGGTTTTTTTGCCCTCTAGAACTCACTTCACTCACTGGGAGAGAAATCGCTCCCGATGCAGCTAGAGCCTGAAGGACTCATCACCTATCTCTACATGGCAGGTTCAGTCTTTGCTAAAACAAGGATTAGGTCAGGAGCCTGCATGTTACCCACCAGGACTGAGGTCAGCCTCATCATCAGGACAGACTAAAAAAGTATCTCTAGGCCGGGTGTGGTGGCTCATGCCTATAATCCCACCACTTTGGGAGGCTGAGGTGAGAGAACTGCTTGAGCCCATGGGTTCGAGACCAGCCTGGGCAACTTGGCGAGACCTCATCTCTACAATAAATCAAGAAAAATTAGCTAGGCGTGATGGCACCTGCCTGTGGTTCCAGTTACTTAGAAGGCTGAGGCGGAGGGATTGCCTCAGCCCAACCAGTCAAGGCTGCCATGGCTGTGAGCGTGCTACTATCCTCCAGGCTGGGCGACAGAGTGAGACACCAACTCAAAAAACAATAGAATAAATAAAAAGATTCTTTGGAATTAACCTCTTGACCAGGTGCTGTGGCTCATGCCTATAATCCCAGCACTTTGGGAGGCCGAGGTGAGAGGATTACCTGAGCCCATGGGTTCAAGACCAGCCTGGGCAACTTGGCGAGACCTCATCTCTACAATAAATCAAGAAAAATTAGCTAGGCGTGATGGCGCATGCCTGTGGTTCCAGTTACTTGGAAGGCTGAGGCGGAGGGATTGCCTCAGCCCAGCCAGTCAAGGCTGCTGTGGCTGTGAGCGTGCTACTATCCTCCAGGCTGGGCGACAGAGTGAGACCAACTCAAAAAACAATAGAATAAATAAAAAGATTCTTTGGAATTAACCTCTTGACCAGGTGCTGTGGCTCATGCCTATAATCCCAGCACTTTGGGAGGCCGAGGTGAGAGGATTACCTGAGCCCATGGGTTCGAGACCAGCCTGGGCAACTTGGTGAGACCTCATCTCTACAATAAATCAAAAAATTAGCCAGGCATGGTGGCACGTGCCTGTAGTTCCAGCTAGTTGGAAGGCTGCGGTGAAAGGATCACCTGAGCCTGTTGGGAGTTGGTCGTGGAGCCTGCCTGAACGTTAGGGATCCAGGCAGGCTGCAGACCCTGAGACTACTAGGACGAGTTCAGGAGCTAAAGGCCCATTCCCTCTTCCCTTCTTTGCTGTTTGGCATGATCCACTAGCAGGGACTTTGATGATCTAAGCATGAAGTTCTGAGAGTATGACAAGCATGGCTTACTTTAGGAGTCCATTGTTCCCGTTTCTCCCAGACTGCGGTTTCAGCTTTAAACTTAACATAATTCAAACTCAGGTCACATTTGGGAGCCTTTAATACGGTACAAGTTTCTTTTAAGATTTAATAGTATATTTGTAGAATTAGTATATACATACAAAGTGCTGTTTCAACCTAATAATATAGATAAATATCTAGAGCTACCAGAAACGGCCCAGCACAAACTTTGGGCTGGGCCACATTCCAAAGGGCCCAGCACGTACTTTGGACTGGGCTGCCTTCTTTTAAACCAGGTTTTAGCTACAGTTAGTATAGGGTTTTTTCTACTTATTATAGAAATTGAATTTATTTTATTCACAGAATAGGTTATGCTACATCAGTGAATTATGTCAGTTCAAGCATGATCAAACATGATATTTTGAGGTTTAATAAGAATACAGCTAACTTTAGAAATTACATTGTTTCCATCTTCTACATTTGCAGTTTTGGCTTTAATACAATTTCCAGTTTATACTTGGGTTTTAGTTTTTAGATGCTTTATTGCTGATGATCAGGATTAGGAATTAGAAAATTTTATAAAAGTTAAAATAGATTTATAAGATTTTATAAAAGTTAAAATAGATTTATAAGATTTCGGAACAGCCATTTTGTTAAGAGATTGTAATCAATTGTTCCCAGAAACGGCCCAGCGTGATCTTTTGACTGAGCCACATTCCTTAGGAATTGGTTTGGGCTATAATTAAGAGTTTCTATAGTGTAGGTAGAATTAGCAAAAACAGAGAGGAACTGGGATTGAGGTTGGTTATTAGGTGTTGCGTATGCATAGGTTTTAAAAGTTATTGATTATTAGAATATTATGATATTAGAATTGTTGTATTGCTTTTGAGAAATATTAACCAAGCATGAGGAATAGTGAGATAGTTTGGGATCCTCATTCCTCATGCTTGGGGAAACACCTGGTGGGTGGGGGACGCCCCTCATCTACCTGGCTCTATGTTCATGTAAATGTCTTGTGATTTAATTGGGATTGCCCTTCCTCTTACTCCAGGAAACACCTGGTGGGTGAGGGATGCCCCTCATTCACCTTGCTTTGTGTCCATGTAAAAGTTTTGTGATTTAATTGAGATTGTTCTTCCTCATGCCTGAAGAAACACCTGGTGGGTGGGGGGGCGCCCCTTCTGCACCTGGCTTGTGTTCATGTGGAAGACTTGTAAGACTGCCTGTGTAAAATTTGGGATAAATACACGCTGTAAACCCCCAATAAATGGCTTCTGCTCAATTCACTGAACAGATGTCCACCTTCTTTCTTTCTCTTTATATCTATCCCTCCATTTTTCTTTCTTTTAATATCTATCCCTCCTACAGAATCGGCTTCTACACTAGACAGAGTCCAGCTTCTTTCTTTCTCCCCCAGTCTCTTTCTTTCTTTTAATATCTATCCCTACAAGTCGCCGATGCCATCACACCTTCCAAGGGACCTCCTAAATCCCTTTTCGGGGGCTGGCCCCTCAAATGAGCCCAGTAGGTCGAGGGTGCGGTGGCCATGAGCGTGCCACTGCACTCCAGCTTGGGCGACAGAGGGAGACTCCAACTCAAAAAAATATATATATATTTCCCCCGAAGGGGAGTCAGATGCTACAAGTCAGGCAAGGGCTTCCAGCCTCAGCACTACTTCTGTCTTGGGTCAGGTGAGACTCTGTTGTGGGGGCTATCCTGTGCACTGCAGGGCATTTGGCATCCCTCACCTCTACTCACTGACAGGGATGCCAGTAGCACCCCTACCCCCTCACCCCTCAGTTATGCCAGCCAAAAATATTCCCCAACATGGCCACATATCCTCCGGGAGGTAAAATGTCCTCAATGGAGAACCACTGGTAGAGCTCAAGAAAGATCCAAAAATTCTGGTTTGGTGAACTGCCACCCAGTCCCTTACTAATCCAAGTTGTCAGGGGCATGGGGCGCTGCTTCTCCAGGGTAAAAGTGCCATGGGGTTGTCACACTAAGAGGGCCATCTGTACAGCCCCTGCATCCCTGTGACCCTTTGAAGGACATGAGAATGAGGAATGGATCATTCTGGACCCCTGGGACAGTTGCTGAGAAAAATCAATTCCTTCAAAACAGTCCAGTTCAGTCCCAAACTCAGGAACTCCAGCGAGAATGGCAATAAGCCCAGGGAATCCTATTCACTCCATTAGACCCTGAGCACTCCTGCTCCTTTACCAAACCAAGAGATGGAAGGAAGGAGAAATCTATAACCATCACAGGCACATGTAACTATAAGCTGTTGTCTATGCTCAAAATCTAGACGGGCCTGTTCCAGCTCACTCACCAGGCAAGCCAGCCTTCCCTGCCAGGCCTCCAGCCTCCACTGTGCTGGCAGACAAGCCTGCCTGCAGTTTCTCTAGTTTTGACTCAGTATTTTGGCCTCCCGACTCTACATCAGTTGACTAAGAAAACTCCCTTGCATCCCTTTTCTTCTGTGACTCTACCTCCCAGATAATGAATGACAAAATGAAACTTAGATTTAGTCTTATAATTCTACCCAGACCCAGAGTGACATTCTGACTGACAGGCACATATCCAAAAGAGCTAGGTCGATGAGCCACAGTGACAGCTACAAGCAGGAGTCAGGGAAGAAGTGACCCAGAGATTGCATGATGTCAACTCATCACCTCCAAATGTGCAAACGTGACAAGATCTAAATTTTTAGAACTTGACTGGTGAAGTAAGTCAACTGTATTTACTGCTTACACAGTCACAGTCGCCTCCAGGAAAGTCCCCTTGACAATGGCTCACCAGGGAAAACACAACTGCTGCCCCTCCCTGCAGCCTTGTGGGTGGGTTGACAGTCACATGTCCAGCTTTGAGACTCAGGGGTGCTTAAACATCATGCCTGTGGAACACATGTTTCCCATAAGCCAGAGGAAGGGGTGTCTCCACTAAACACAGAGGCCCCAGCAGCATTTCCCTAGTTTCCTCAGGGAAATATACACTGGTGGGTAGTTTCCTGAATACAAGGATTTCCTCTGAATCTTCCTCCAACCTTTGATCCTCCAATAGCTGCCAGCTACTAATGACAGAGAGTGCAAACAACAAGTCTCATAAAACCTTAAGGAAGAATCCCCTGCTCCCCATAGAGAGTTCTGCCCAGGAATGTGAGTAGGTTCATGACTGGGACCTCGTGCTGCATGTAAGCACTCCACTGAGGTCTGCAGCTGCTGGTCTCGATTTCCTATGATGGTATCAGTGTCTCATGATCTCCAACCAAGAGCACTGTGACTTTCAGGGACTCTGCCACTTAAACAGATCTGCAAATCACTGGAGGCAGAGGAGGGTTGTGGCAACTAGCAATGACTCTGAAAGCCTACTAGCCTAGTTGTGCGACCCTGGGCAAGTTCCGTACCCTCTCTGTGCCTCAGCTCCTTCATCTGTAAACTGGGAGTGACAATAACCTCCCCAGGACTGTGGTAAGTATCAGATGAGTTAATACATGTGAAGTGCTGAGAGTAGTATCTGGCACATAAGAGCTCCCAATGGGCCCACTGCTATCACCACCACCACTATCCTCATCCCGTGGTAAGGGACATGCCCTTGCAGATCAAGTACACCAGTAGGTGAAGACGCTTTCGAGCCCTCCCAAGGGGGCGGTGCTCTCTCCCACAGCACTGATTTGGGATCCCTATGTGTGGCTGTCCAAGAGCTCTTAAGGGACACCATGAAAGGAGCAGGGGCCACAGTACCCGGATCATGACCATGTGCGACTCCAGCAAGATCTCAGGGAAGCTGGGCTGTAGCACCTCCAGGCTGATGTTTGGCACTAGGGGAAAAAAACACAGAAGAAAAGACTTTGTCATGCATTCTCCCCTCGCAGTCTGTCTGTCCATGGTATCCACATTCCTACAAGTCCAAGTGCAGCCTTCCTGACAAGCTGTCAAAGTGGTGAGGAGACTAGAGAAAGTCTGGCCCAATTCTTGATCCTTTATTCTGGTACTAAGCATCATCAAGCATTCTGAGAAATCCAAAGGAAGCAGATGAGAAGGCCTCCCGCATGGTGCTCCGAAAGTTCTCGGCACCGTCACCCTTCACTGTGTTACTGGCTCAGATGCTGCTACCCTGCTGGGCATGAGGTCTGTGGGGACAGGGACCGAGGCTACTTCCCTTCGCCAATATATCCACAGGGCCCCATAAGGCATACTCAGTAAAGAGGTGTGTAATTAGTTAGATGGTTTGGCTGGATTCAGTATTAAGAACACAATGGAAAGCACAAAGGGAAGAAAAAATTGTGTATAAGCTTAAGGGGATAGTTTAGGAAAACAGCGGATGCTTCCACAAGCTGACACTGAAGTGGAAATGTCATACTGGAGCCTGGGAGTAGTGACATAGGGCGCAGATCAGGGCTGTGGCTGCCACTTTCCACACAGGTGCTGGGTGGATGGGGAAAAGCTCTACCCTGGAGCGCAAGGGAAAGTTCCAGCTTGCTCCAAGTCTGGAGGCTGGGGAGGTACCCATGGTGCAGGGGAGAGGGGCCCAGATGGAGATGAGACAGATGAACCTGCAGATGGCCACTGGTCACTTTAGGGAGAGGAGTCTAAGGAGGGAGTGGACAAGAAGAAAAAGGAGCCAGCTCTATAGGTATACACAACTCCCGTAAGGAAGTTAGGATTAAAAAAGGAAGAGATGGCAACACAATGCCATGACAGCAAAGCCTCTGATGGTTTGTGTATCGTATAAATGCTGCCCTCCGGAGCCAGCCCAGAAGGTGACCCACTCACACTTGGGGTTGATGTGGTCCTCTATATTCCAGATGGAGTTGAGGGTTTCTTTGAGGTATGGAGTGCAAGTCACTTCCAGCTGCTCCCAGCCCCTGTGAAAAGGAGTCACACTGTCTCTCAGAAGACCTGAAGTCTTCCATAGAGCAGCACTGGCTTCCATGGAGCCCTTCTCTCTTCAACCTGGCAGCCATTCTTTTTAACCTCGCACTTCTATCCTAGGAGTAGTCTAGCATATGGCACTCCCATTTAAAGAGACACAGACCCAGAGAGTTATTCGCACAAGCCAGGTGTACACACATCCACTTATAAGAACACATAATCTCGAAGCTGCCCTGAAGTTCTGTGCTCCATGCGACCTGAGGCCTGTTCTCCTCCATCTGCTACGAAGAGAAAGCAGACGGCAGTGCACACTGATCCCTGGAAAGCGAGAGCTTCTGGTGCACTCTCCGTGGGCAGAAGGAAAAGCCCAGCCTCGACAGGGATATCAGAATCTGAGACTTACCACTTAGGCAGAACCTTTCCTGAGGAGCCCAGAACACACCCTGTGACCAGATGGATGAGGCGAATTCGACTTCTCAGCACTTTGATCCGGTTTCCAAAGTTTCTGTTCACAACTTCAATCCTCCAGAAGTCATTTGAGTCTCCTGTCCCATTCTGCCACATACGCCAAGAAAAAAACACAAAGCAAGTGAGAGGACTGTAGAGAAAAGGTGTCAAAAAGAGAAATGGCCCCCCTTTCAGATGCCACCATGTCACAAAGGCTAATGACCAAGTCAGCCTCGAGGGAGGTAGGAAAGGGTCAAGAGGGTCATAGAAATGCCCCAGCTCACGACAACAATCCAAAGAAGGAGTGCAACTCCTAGGACCGGAAGTCCAAGTCTTCACTTCCTAAGAGGAGAGTCGAAGCTCTAAACAGATGTTTCTGCCCTTAAACAAAACTCAAGAAACCATGCTGAGCCGACAGAAATAGATTTGGGCTACTTGCATCTACTACTCTGGCCATCTGGAGCCTCAACTCATCTATGCCAAAAACGTCTGGCCTGGGTACTGCACTTTGGAAATTAAGACAGTCGTATCTAATTCTCCTCAGGAGACACCCACAAGAATGAAGATGAGAAAGTTCAGAGTCTTGACTTGGGTACAATGTGGGATGAGCAAACAGAAAGAGGGCTGGGAAATTCACCTTAAAGAACCCAGAGTCTTTACTTAAGATCTTGGAAGGGAATGAAACTAAGAGTCACAAGTATGTTTCCGCTAGTAGTTTTTGTCTTCAATTACCCCACAAGCCATAAGTATTCAGAGCTTTCACTCTATTAACGGCATCTCCCTGAGGTAGTTAAATACAGAAGCTATGTAGATGACATCCCTTTGCAGAACAGGGATGCAATCCTTAAAAATAAAGCCAATTGAGAATTTGGGATCTGCCAAAGATCAACTTACATATTCATAAGGGGCCATATTGTGGGTCCTTGGTTTCTATGTCCAATGAGATTTTTTTTTTTTTGAGTTGGAGTCTCACTCTGTCGCCCAGACTGGAGTGCAGTGGCCGCTCCCGGCCACCGCAGCCTCGACCTGCTGGGCTCCAGCGATCCTTCCGCCTCAGCCTTCCGAGTAGCCGGAATTACAGGCATGCGCTACCATGACTGATTGTAGAGATGAGGTCTCACTGCCTAGGTGGGTCTTGAACCCGCAGGTCCAGGCGATCCACTCACCTCAGCCTCCCAAAGGCACGGGATTACAGGCTGAGCCACCGAGCCCGGCTTCCAATGAGATTTTAAGAGACCCAAACAGTATTCACATCTGACATTTATTAAGTATCAGAACACATACACGGCATGGTGGTTATATGAGGAGAGGGATGGAGATGAACAGACTTCACAGGCTGCTTTCCCACAGCAAGCCTCGCCAAAAAGCCCCTGAATGTTCAGCGAGTCCCAGTGCAGCCTCCAATCCTTGAGAACACTCCAGAATTCTTGGGAAGATGTGTCCCACCACACGGCCCTGAGCCAAGGCCCATACTTTTCACATCCAGCGCACACCCCAGTTGCTCACTTACTATGCCATAGCCAGTGACCTGATAGTGCTTCCGGGTCAGGGGAGCCTCATGGTAGTGACTGTGTAAGTTCCGGGAAGTCCTGGAAGTTAGAAAAGAGAACTGTCACTACCCTGAAGGGATGTTCATGCTTCTTCATTAACTAAGGATTTTCAGGATCATCTGCTAGGACAAGCAAAATTAGAATCTTAACTATTAAATCCAACACATCAGGAACTTGTTTCCTATTTACTCACAAGAAATACCCAGAGATTTACTCACAAGAAATACCCAGAGCCCAGCCCGGGAGAGCAGATGGTCAGAGCACTGGCTGACATGCCAAGACGGGGGCTCACTGTAGTTGTTGGCAGGGGTGGGGGGTAGCTGTCACACACTTGGGAGCTCCGAAGCACTTAGCTTGCCTGACTTATGAGGCAGATGTGGGGAGAAAATGAAAACGTGTCACCCACACATGCCTGAGCAAGGTAGCCTCCTCACCCGCCTCCACTCCATCTACTCCCACCACTGGTTTTGCAAAGTGGAGACCTGTTGGGCAGGAGGGAGTTAATTTAGCTTTTACTTGTTTGGGTTTTCACATCAACTCTTCTCACTTTTATCCATAAGAAGTAATAAATGTTCACTATAAAACTTCTGGAAATTTGTAAAATTTAACTGAAATAAATAATTTGTTAATGATACAATGAAATGCATTAAATAATAAAATAAAAAATTTAAGTGTCCAGGATCCAACTGACTAGAGACAAACCAATGCTAATTGCTTACAGATATGTCTATATGGAGATATATAGATACATGCATATATATATATATATAATCCCCTGATTAGTGTCTGAAATTTTTGCAGGGCTACTTCTTCTGCCTAGTGCTTCTGCCTGCCCCTATTTCCTTGTGTGCTTTCTTATTTTTGACTGTATGCTATTCACTGTGGCTGAAAAGCTGTTCGTGGGAATGGATACTACTTGCATGTGCTATTTGTCATGCACCTAGGAGAATTACCAGTCTAGGATCATGTTCATTAAGTTCATGACTTGAAGATTCCAAGATTACCCAGGCTGACATGAATTTGAGCTGCATATTCATGTGAGGATCAACTGGTAGTGATAACTTCTCAGGCACCATGGATAGCTCCTCACCCAACCCCCTCCCCCAACACTCTGCTTGCTACCAAAGTAACTTTTCCTTATAGGTAGATAATGCAGATTTATCCTTATCCTAAGCTTTTTGGGGTTCCAAATTTTGGAGAAGGATCACTTAATAAATTTGCCACTTTGGGTGAGCAGAGAGCTTTGACTTTAAAACCTATTCTCTGGCTGGACGTAGTGGCTCAGCCTGCAATCCCAGCACTTAGGGAGGCCGAGGCGAGAGCACTGCCTGAGACCCGGGGGTTTGAGACCAGCCTGGGCAACTTGGTGAGATCTCATCTCTACAATAAATCACAGGCAGAGGCTGCGATGGCTGTGAGTGTGCCACTGCACTCCAGCCTAGGTGACAAGAGTGAGACTCCAACTCAAAAAACAAACAAAACAAACAAATAAAAAGCAGTCAAAATGAAAGCCCAGAACTCAAGACTGTGGAATCAAAGCAAAAGTGGCTTTAGTGTCTCACTTATTTCTCTGGATTCTCTTTCCCACTTAGATTTTGGCCTAGTGACTCTTTAATATCTTGTCAGGTTTTTATGCTTTCAAGAAGTCTTTGTATTATTCAAGTATTGTTAGTCATTTTCAGGGAGAACATTAGTTAAATAAACTAGCCTGCCATATTCTCAGAAACAGACTCCTACATCTTTCTAAAGGCAGCCACTTAAGAGGCTTTGGGTGCTGGGTACAGTGGTGCATGCCTGTTATTGGAACTGTTTGGGAGGCTGAGGTGAGAGGATAGCTTGAACCCAGGAGTTCGAAGACAGATTGGGCAACATAACGAGATCCTGTCTCTTAAAAGAAAAAAGAAAAAAAAAAAGGAAGTAACAGCTTTGGGCAACTCATATTTTCTCCTTTTCCTCTAGGAAATGGAAACTGAAAGGTGCTCTCAAAGTTCAAAACTCCTCCAGGTCAAAATAGGTAGGCAAAGGCTGGCCTGTTTATCTCACAACCTTCATAAAATGCTAGCATGGCAGCTCTGTTCCATTTTCTAGAGCCTCAACCAAATCTGAATTCTGTTGATTTCTTAAATGAACTCCCTACCCCTGGTGCCCACACCATTCATTTGTCCAAGTAAAGAAACTTACTCTTTGTGTTCCAGTCGAATGATGTCTCCATGTCTTACAAACTCCACTGGGAAGGAAGGGTCTCGGGGATCTGCCAAGAAGAAACAAGCAGTGATAACTGAGATCACTCACTGTGCTAGCGTTAACTGAGGGTCCACCAGTAAGCAGTTACATCACCATGTGTTGGAGGTGCTGACAGAGTGCTCTGGAACCAAAGAGGAGGGCCCTGATTGCCTCGGAGAGTTACGAGAAGGGTGTCCCAGAGATGATGCCTAAAAAGACTCTTAAAGGTGGGGGAGACTTGTGTCAGGTGAACAGTGGAGGAAGGTACCAGAATCATGGAAGAACAAGACTCATCTGTCGATAGTAAATGGTCTCATACTGTTGAAGTGGGTGGGGCAGGAAGGAGAGTGGGAACAGGAGATGAGGGTCTGAACAGGTGAGGCAGGCTGCAGATTCCAGGCTGGGAGACATGGCCTCCATCTGACAGCCTGAAGTCCCCATGGAGCAGAAGCTGGGAAGATAAATAACAACATTTTAGTAGTACTAACATAGTCTTCTAACAATTCATTCCATGCAAGTGATCATTTGTCCAGCTCTCCTCAAAATCAAATAAATCCAGAAAACTTTGCCAGTGACTGTCTTGTTTCTGGCAATAGACTTGCTAAATGTGAGGTGAAAAAAAATGATGAAATGATGAAAGGAAAGGACTACTTCTGTATCCTCTCGAAGTCAAGACCAGTCAGAATCTAGAAAGGTGATGACATGGAAAAGGAGCTGGCAGTAATAATCACAACACAGAATAGATCCCTGCAAATTTCTGACCCAAACAGTGAGACATCAACACACTATAAATAGCTCAAGGTCAGGAAAGAGAAATTTGCCAGTGCAAATCACTGGCTCTCAAGAGAATCAAAGAACTCAGCTATGCTGCCTTCTGAGGTCTCTTAAAAAGATTAACTAGCAAGATGACAAATCAAACAAGTCAATCCAATATTTCACACAGATTGGAGAGGGAGCATTTACAGTCATCAAGATCACAAAGACCTTAGTCTATAAGGTTCCAACAAAATCCTAAGTCACTTAGGTGAAATGCCATTGTCTTTACTCAGAGGCTACAATAGAATAAGAGACTAAGATGTCTAGTAATGAATACACACATGTCCCCCCAAATCTAAAATAATAAAATAAAAATAAGGATGTCCAAAGCTTGGGTTCATGCCTACATGACTCAGAAGTAAAACTGGTCTTCCCTCATGACTCTTCACTGTGAGAGAACACTCATGTTTGCCTGTTGAATCAAAATGCAGTCGATACTTGTGTGATGAAACTGTAAAAACAGACTGTCCAATGGGGTCATCATGTGTACTAGTGACGGGCAGGATGCAAAGACAGTGGTGGTGCCCACCACGTTTCCAGCCTTAAAATGGCGACAGAGGCGACAGAGCAATGAAGGTGCATTTAGTTGAGCGACTGCCCACTTCACGAACGCTCAGGAACAGCTCACTCAGGGGATCTGCTGAGGAGTCACAAGGGACACCCATGACACAGGACTGTCAGCAGTGACAGCGGGCTCAGAAGGTGAGAGGAAGAAGCCACTGCGTGCTTCTCGGCCTGCAGGAGCCAGCTATCTGACCAAAGAAAGGCAGATCTGGACCTGGGCTTGCTCTTGTCCTAAAGCCCTGAGAGCCGGACAGGTGTGCTTCAGTGCCACTATGTCCAGGCCAGTGAGGGGCAGATCAACAGGCACTGAATGACACTCCAGGCACCAGTCTGGACCACGTCCAATCACAGGGTGGCTGGCAGGTCCTCAGGTCTCCAACCACTGGCTCAGTACAGTGATGAACAGTGGGCAGCTCTATCTTACCAAGACGACTTGAGCTGTACCACATGGTGGGGCCTGCAAGGCTTGGTGTGCTCTGAGTTAGGAATGAAAGCAGCCACCAGGTACCTCAGCTGGGGCTTCTCACAGCTCCTGGTGGCATGCTCAGGTGACCTCTTCACCTGGAGTAAGCCTGAGCCTGGCCCTGCTATCTTCAGAATGGCAGCTCTAAGGGCAAGATCTACCTGTTTTGCCGAATGCATATTCCCTGTGCCTACAACAGTGGTTGGAACATAGTAGGTGCTCTATAAATAATTGGTGGAAGGATAACTGAGATCAGTAAAGGTGTAGTCAAAGATTCTCAGGAAAGCCCATCGCAGGATCATCCTTTTGGAGGCATCAGAGATGTTAAGAAGGGCTCAAAGTCCATAACACGAGAAGCAGCAGCCTGTGACCACATTACCTGAGTCTGTGTTATGTTTCTTGATAATCCACAGGTTGTTGTAGTCCTTGTGCAGATAGGTGGTGACCTGGGTGGGGGAAGAGGGAGGAGGGGGAGGGAAGGAGAATACGTCACTATCAGTACAGCTGGCCAAGGACAACAACAGCAAACTAAGCTCAAGCCTCTTTTTTTTTTTTTTGAGTTGGAGTCTCACTCTGTTGCTCAGACTGGAGTGCAGTAGCCGCTCCCAACCACCGCAACCTGGACCTGCTGGGCTCCGGCCATCCTTCTGCCTCAGCCTTCCAAGTAGCTGGAACTACAGGTGCGCGCTACCATGCCCGGCTAATTTTTGATTTATTGTAGAGATGAGGTCTCGCCAAGTTGCCCAGGCGGGTCTCAAAACATAATCCAGCCATCAGCCGGGGCCGTTTCCTAACAGGGCTCAGAATTAGCACTGGAGAGATACTGTCCTTCCTTCTGCATTTAGAGGCCTTGTCTCAAAGAGCCTTCTAGATCTGTTTCTTTGTATCTCTGCATCTTAGCCTTAAAGTTCCAGACTTCTAGAGGGAGGCAGCAGGATGCTTTATGTAACAGTTTCCAGCTCACAAAGGGAATGAGGATTTAGTGCATTTTAAAAGTAATCAAGACCATGCCTCAAACTTCCTAAATACAGAATTTATGCCTTTGGGAGGCTGAGGTGAGTGGATTGCCTGAGCCCACGGGTTCAAGACCCGCCTGGGCAACTTGGTGAGACCTCATCTCTACAATAAATGAAAATGAGTCGGGTGTGGTAGCGCACGCCTGTAGTTCCAGCTACTTGGAAGGCTGAGGCGGAAAGATCGCCAGAGCCCAGCAGGTCGAGGCTGCGGTGGCCGGGAGCAGCCACTGCACTTTAGTCTGGGTGACAGAGTGAGACTCCAACTCAAAAAAAAAAAAAAAAAAAAAGAATTTATGCAATTATAGTTTTTATAATGTGGCCAAATGAAACTAAAAGGCTCCATAAATATCCTGTCCTAGAGTTTTAACCCATAGTCATTTCACACACACTGATTTCTAAAACTTGTGTGTGTGTGTGTTTATGAGCAAATGTCTGTAATGCTACATAGGAATACTCTAACAGCAAAAGTTTGGTAACAGTATAAATGTCTAGTAATAGAGAAACAGTTAACATAACAGTATGTCCATGGGATAGAATATTCTACAGCCACAAAAAAGGTTTCAGAGAAGTTTTTGGCAGCATGGGAAAAGGCTCATGAAATGCTGGTGCTAAAATGGCGGCCGTGTAATACAGACACTGTTCCAAGTGTTGGGGAGATCTTATCTCATTGAATTGTTACACTTTATGCTGTAGGTACTGTAGTTATCCCCACCTTACTTACAAGGACACTGAAGTGAAGTAATTTGCTCAAGGTCACACAGCTTATGAGTTGGGGAGACAGGATGTAAACCAGGGCAACTAATTCCAATGCTCCCAGGATACAGACTATATATACAAGATTATGCCAATTAATAAAGTATAGAACTATTATAATCCCAATTGGACAATGTACAGCCATGCACTACATAGTGACATTTTGGTCAACAACAAAGTTCATATCTGATGGTCCCATAAGACTATAATATTGCATTTGCTGTACCTTTTCTATGTTTAGATATGTTTACATACACAAATATGTACCACTGTGTTCCAACTGTCCACAGTATTCAGTACAGCCACATGCTGTACAGGTGCGTAGCTTGGGAGCAATAGGCTATACCATATAGCCTAAGTGTGTTACAGGCTGTACCACATAGGATTAGGTAAGTACACACTATGATGTTCACACAATGACAACATCATCTCATGAAGCATTTCTCAGAATGTATCCCCGCCATTAAGTGATGCATAACCCTACTTGCAAAGAGATTTGAAATTCACACTTAGGGGGAAAAAATTATTTTGCTGTATTATGGCTACTTCATTTGAGTGGTTTTTGCTGTGCTTCTCAGAAAAAATTAGAGATGATGATATTAAAAATACACAAGAAGTTAAAAAGTCTTGGTGGTCATAGAAAAATTAAAGTTAAGTTCACACTCTTTAAACAGCTAGACACAGTCCATCCAACTTGAGTTTTCTCAAGGATGTTAAAGGCTGTGGTGCTCATGCATGTACTGTGTGTGTGTGTGTGTGTGTGTGTGTAGTGGGAGTGTTTTTGTATGCTTTTACAAAAGTCATTATTATTACCATTCCTACATCTTTATCATAAGTCTGGTCCATGGCCTCTTTTTCCCACTGAAATGTTTGTTTTGATAATAGTTTTTAAAAACCTGAGATTTCCTAGGAACACAGGTATCCAATTATAGCAGAATGCTATACATCAAAAAATTCAGATAAACATTAATCTTCTGGGATGATGTATTGCTTTTGTTTGTTTTTTAGACTTTTCCATATTTTCCCATTTTATGTTATACATGTTATACTTTAAAAACATTGTACAATCGAAACTGTGACCTGCAGGGCAGGGAGGGCCACCAGAGATGATCTGGTCCAATTCCCTTCAATTTACATGTGAGGAAACAGCTGAGAGAGGCCAAGTGCTTCAGTCAAGGACAAAGCCAGACACTCTGTCCCTCGCCCCACACACTCCCTTTACACACCAACCCAGGTCCACACCTCCACACACAGGTTCCAAGTGCACCACGCCAGCTCAACAGGACCTTTCAGGATGTGGCCCTTCTCTCCTCTGCACAGTGTGGGTGTTCCTAGTCACTCTATCTGTAACTATTGTCTTCTACATGACACCTACAGCAATTTGACACCATTAGAAGGCGAGCTGTTTCTGTGCTGGGTATACATTAGAACCATCTGGAAAACTTAAAACCAAAACCAAAACACATGATGCATGGACCTCCTCCTAGATGCATTAAGTCTTCCTCTGCAGTAGAGTCCAGGCTCAGAATTTTTTAAAAAATCTCTCCAGTTGATTCTAAAGCACACCAGGGATAAGAACCACTGAGCCAGAGACAAGCGGAGAAGCAAAGGTGATAAACTGATATGAAAACCTGATGCCCTGGGTCAGCTTTCTAGTAAATAAAAAGGGAGGAATAATCAAGTATTTTAAGAAGCACAACTTTTGCAAAGTAAAGACACTGGTCATTTCACGAGCAGAGAAGCTTCCCTTCCAAGTGTCTCAGATAACAGCCTCTCTCTTGGCCTCACCTCATGAGGTCCCACAATGCCCAATGGTCGACCTCCTCTTTCCAGTGACCTCTCCTCCTTGCACTCTCCCTCCACCTCTCCTCCAGCCTCCCTGCTCCTCCCTTCTCCGCCTCTCCTCTTCTCAGTCTGCGGTGTCAATGCGCCCAGGGCTCCTTTGCTGGCCCTCCTCCCTTTGGGCACTGCCACCCATCCCCTGGTGTGCTTGCACCCACAGGCTACACACTCAGGTCTCTCTCTTGAGACAGCCATAAGCCTAAATGCACAAAGGAAAACTCTTCCTCCTCCTCCACTTCTGATCCTGTGAAGCAGTATTCTCATACATTCACCCTGATGTCCAAGTCATAGGCTTGGCACAGCTCTTCCTTGACATCTGTCCAACCCCAGTCCCGACGCTCTACCTATGATGTGCTTCCTGTGTCCATTTCCACCTCTGCCCCCGTGTTCGCCCTGTTCATCACCCTTTGTCATAATTACTGCCTCCTAATTGCTTCTTTGCATTGACTGCATCCCTGCTGAAGTTATCTTTTCAGACCAGAGTTCTAGTCACATCTTGCCCTCATTTAATAACTTCCACTGCCTCCCTGCTGTCTATGGAACAAAGTCAAATCTACACAGGCCTCTCCCAATCTGGTCCCACTATCCTCTCCAATATCCGGCTTCTCCCTCTCAGGTGCCATGCACTACAGCCACACCTAACACTCCTTAACATGGCCCCGGTGTCGCTCACCCATTCAGATGGCACTCGGGGGCTAGCCCTCTTATGTGCACTTCTCCTTCTCATGTATTATATCATTTAATCCTCACAACACCCCTACAATGGAGAGAAGTACTATGAATTTTCCGCAATTTAAAGATAAGGGTACTGAAGCACAAAAAGAACTTGTCTAAAGCCACATTCCATATGAAACCAGAATTCACACCAGATCATCTAGTCTGGCTCTCTACTCTGTGGCAGGCAATGTACCAGGCCCTTGAACCTTTCAGAAACTGGCAATCAAGGGAAAAGAGACAGGAGGAAGGAAGCTCTCTCAGCTCAGTAGGAAAAGGGCTGCAGCACTGGCATGCAGGGGCGCCCAGAGGCCTCTTGTCAGAGGGGCACTTAAGCCAGCACCACAGAGTGGGTCGCGGAGTCAGACAATGCCTGTGTAGAAGCCTGAAGAAGTTGGGCAAGCCAGGGGAACGGGAGGGGGGCGGGAGGAGGAAGACTTTCCAGTGGGGATCAGTGTGAGCACAGCACCAGGAGCACGCGTGAGGACAGCCACGATAAACATGGCGAGCATGACATGTGGGCAGAGTCTCACTCACCTGCTGCTGGCGAGCACCGATGCCCTCGGGGTAGAGGTGCCTGTGGGAGTGCAGGTAGCCGATGGCCATCCGGAGGTTCTTCACAGTGATCACAGAGCCGTAGGCCAGGTCTGAGAGGAAGGGACGCGGAGGGGTAAGTGGCGAGGCGCAAATGGCGAGGGCTGGAGGCTGCCCGGCCTGGGGAGCCTCGGAAGCCACAGGATTCACTAGCCCTGAGAGTCACCACTGGCCCAGGACTGCAACGGAGCCAACTCAGGAGAGAGACATCCCCACAGGGCACCACTTGTGCCCTTTCCTCCCCACCCCGCTGGGGACTTCAGAAAAAGCTGGGTTTTAACACTCATTTTAAAGCACCATTGGTAATAGTCAAAGATTAAAAACAACATGTCCTTCAGTCAAGGTCTCTACATGTGTTCGATGGAGTAAGGAAGAAGCGTGGCATGTCCCCATCTGGAACGCTCTCCAGGACAGATGTGACAGGCTGGCTTTGCACCCCACATCTACATCCTTTTGAACCTAGCATAAGAAATAACTGTTTAATAATGTTTTGGGATTTTTTTTTGCTCTAAATTAAAAAAACACACAGAATAGCCCACTCCCTAAAAGTGTCCATCTCCTGTAGGTGATGGGTACCCCGAGAGGCCTCCTCTCTCTCTTGTCACTGTTCCTCTTCTCAGTCCCTGGAATCTAGCCAGTCTGCCATTCACCAGTGCACTCAGGCCGGTCTCTCATGCCACCAGTAATGACCAACTCCTGCTTCTCTTTGATCATTCAGTCAATCAACAGAATATGGACCCAAGGGTGGAGAGGCCTGCCATGGTCCCAGAGGAGCCTGTCTAGGGGAAGACGGCTCACAGTCTGGGTCCTACCTATCTTTCTCAAATCTGTCTTCCAGTTCTGGTCTGCAGATGACCCACACCTTGAGTCTGCCCTGTCCTTGGCTTTGATCGTGTCATCCTTCTGCCTGGTATGCCCTCTCCTCCACCCTCTTCCCAGTAAGATCTACCCATCCTTCCGTGGCCTGAGTCCAAGGCAACCCACCCCATACATCTCTGGCCCTCCCACTCCCAGCAGCCATGATCTCTCCACCTTTCAGTCCCCACACTTGTTCCTGCATTAGGCATTCAATGCCCACAGTGGCACTGGGAGAAGCCTCTACAGCAGACTCCGCCTCAGTCTCTCTCTGTAATCAGCAAATGAAAGCAAGTCGCAGGTGGGAGGTGGGACTGCTCAGCCGCTCCGAAGAGTGTCACCAGATTCCCTGTGACTGGCCTTCGCACAGAGCTGGCTTGGAGAGCCCCGGAGGAGCAGCTGGCCTCTAGAACCAAAGGGTCTGCAGCTCGGGACACCTTCCTCCACGCTGTCCTGGCTCCCTCACAAGTATTCTTGCTCCCACTCTGCCATCTACAGGCCAGAACAACCCAAGCTACCTGTCTTCCCATTCGGTTCCCAAGATGCCCCTCTGCCTTTTACCTTTGTAACAGCCCAGGGACACTCACGTTCTGGGATGGAAGCATTGTGAAGGTTGTTTCCTGAAAGCCGGGCCTGGAAGGCAGAGCTGAAGAAACCATCACCAGGGCCACTGCAGGGAAAGGAGGGCAGAAAAGAGCCAAGTTAATAGAGCAAAAATTGTGACTTCCCAGAACCCCTGGGTAGAGATCTGCTCAGTTAGTTAAAAAGAAGTAGAATCATGCCGGGCATGGTGGCTCACGCCTGTAATCCCAGCACTTTGGGAGACTGAGGCATGAGAGGATCGCTTGAGTCCAGGAATTCAAGACCAGCCTAGCCAACAGAGTGAGACCCTGTCTCTTCAGAAAAGTAGCCAGCATGGTGGCACATGCCTGTGGTCCCAGTTACTCAGAAGTCTGAGGCAGAAGGATTTCCTGAGCCCAGAAGGTAGAGGTTGTGGTGAGCTGTGGTCCCTGCCACAGCACTCCAACCTGGATGACAGAGTGAGACCCTGACTCAAAAATAAAGAAAAGTAGAATCAGAGTGATAGTGTGGCATCATGGGGCAGACATGAATGATGGAATCAGAGAAACTGGGATCTAAATCCCAACTTAGTTACCTACTAGCTGAGTGACCTTGGACAAGTTCACCTTGTTTAGCTTTAGTTCCTCATTCATAAACTGGAGATCAAAAAACAAAAGAACTCCCAAATGACTGTGATTAAATGAGATAATGTATATAAAATGCTGCACACAGCTCCTGATACTTTGCAGTTACTCGTTAAACAGGAGTTGGTGCTGCAGTTATTATGATCCTCACCCCCCTGCACACCTTACTGCTGCCTGTCCCTGCAACTATAGGGACTCTTTTTAGAGATAAGGGGACAGTCTGGCTACAAGGAAGTTCTCATCTACCTTCAGGTCAGGGTGCTGGTCTTTCTGAGCCCTTGGCTTGCCCAAAGGATAGAACACAGGAGGAAAGAAACAGGAAAAAGCCCCTGGGCCTCTCCTGTCACCTAATCACAGACCCAGGAATTCACCTGGCCCATGCCTGGCTCTGGCAAGAGGAAGCTCAGGGCAAGACACCAGGAAGGACACGGCTGTACCTTTTATTCAGCACCATGAAGTGAACAGCAAAAGTGGCCGTGTAGAGAGCCAGGGGCAGCACAATGAGGCACAGGATACGAGCAGTCAGGTGCTTTCCCACAGTCACCTGCAAACAGAGGCAAGCGGGGCAGGGGCACATGGGCCTCATCAGCCTTATACCCGGTACGTGCATAATACACGGCTTCAACAGAAAAGTCATAATCATAAGAAAAAGCCAATAGGATAGAAGAGAAAGCAGGAACCTGAGCCTTTCCAAAGCACCCACCACTCAAGTTACACAGAACAAACACAGGCCAACCCCCTGCCACCTCTCCAGGCCCTGCACCCAGCACCCTGGGCTCCACTGTGCCATGGACACAGCCCCACCAGCACATGCAGCATCACTGCTCGCCAGTCCCCTTCGTGTCCAGACACATGAGCCTCCTTTCACTTTCCCAGTGCTTCCTGTACTGTTCCAGCCCCACCCATCACTTGCCAATTGCTCCTCACTTTAGCTTCGGGCCGTGGCTTCCTCCCAGAGGCCTTCCTGGACTGCTTGAGACTGGCCTAGTGCCTCCTGGTGCCTGCTTACTTCCCGCTCCACTGACTCCAGTGTGGAAATCCTACCGTATCCGTCTGTATATACCCCACACCTCACACTTAGTGGATGGGCTCTATATTTTCTGGATGAATAAGCCAACTTGTTAGGCGTTTGGGTCCGAGGGGACAGGGAGGCATCACAGAAAAGCAGTGGAGGCCAGGAGTCAGCCTAACCTAAGCATGAATCCTAGGTCAGCCCCAGGTCAGCCCCAACTACCCGTATGGCCTTAGGGAAGTTATTCCTCTCTAGACCTTGCCTTCCACATCTGTACACTGAGGACACTGAAGCTCCACTCCCCAGGGCTGTTAGGAGAGTCAATGAGACTATTAAGGCAAAGCACTCATATTGTGCCTGCACAGAAGAAGCCCTTAATAAGCAACAGTATTACAGTAAGCTCTGAGGGCCCCTCCTGGCCTCCAAATACAGAGACCCTGGGTCAGGAAACGAACACTGTGAGTTCAGAAAGTCATCCCATCCGAATCACGCTAAGTCCCCTTGGTCAGTCTACCACACATTCAGTATGAGCCCAGCTGTATAGACTTTTCTGCCTGGGTAGTTTGTATAACATGTAAAAGACACTGCAGAAACTGAAACCAAAAGAGACTTCTAGGGATGTTAGTCCGTCTTCTCCTTTCCACCTGCCTAGCCCCCTGGGGCCAACAGCCCCTCCCCCACCTGCAGCAGAGGCTCCTGTGAGCAACGCGGGGAGCAAAACATGTCTACAACAGGCACTTGATTCTCACCAACGAAAGACGGAGGTCTCCAAGCAGGTCCCAGAGTTCTGAAACAGTGTTCAACCCCACGTGCAGGATGATAAAGAGGCCAACAAACTTAACCCCCAAAGCACCAGCGAGACTGATGCCTGTCAGGCTCAGCCAGAACCACCAGGGGGCAGAGAAGGGCCTGAAAGGCAACAAGACAGAGCTCAGTCTGGCAGCTGGAACCAAACTGGAAAGCAAGAGTGGCCGGGGACAAGGAAGGGTCTGAGTTGAGAGGCTGTGTTGTGTCCACTGTCTTGGGGGCTCCTAGCCTCAGGGGACCATGGCCTGGCTCCATGGAGGCTGTGGTCTGTAACGCCCCTGAAATGGCAGGCAAGCCACATTATGAGTGAGTAGAATATTTTTCTGGGGAGAGAATCCACCGTGTCCCTGGCTAAGTACAAGCTTAGGGTAACAGAACGAGTAAAAGGAGAATTCACCAGCCTCAGCAACACAATGAATCCTCGTCTCTACAAAAAAGTCAAACAATAGCCAGACATGGTGGCACACGCCTGTAGTCCCAGCCACTTGGGAGGCTGAGTTGGAAGGATTGCCTGAGTCCAAAAGGTGGAGGATGTGGTGAGCTGTGACTGTGCCACTTGCACTCTGGCCTAGGTGACAGAGTGAGAACCCTACTCAAAAAAAAAAAAAAGGGAATTCAGTCAGCCCTCTCCTTTGTGTGGCCTCTGAACCTGTCAAAGGCAGCGAGTGCTTACTATGTGTCAGGTGCCATTCCAAATACTGTACAATATTTACTCTTCTAACTTTCACTACAACCCCACAGGGGAGATCCTATCATCATCCTCTTCTTACAGATGAGGAAACCATGGCACGGAGAGGTTAAGTCATTCAGCCAGCAAGCGGTGGAGCATACCTCTAACCCAGGCAGTCAGGCCCAAGGTTAGTGCTCGTGACAATTCTGCTACACGTACTACATGTACAGCACCTGCCCTGCCATGGTCTGATGATCCGCTGCTTCCCCTGCTAAAGTGAATGATCCCTAACAGCCAAGGCCTCCGGACCTCGGTACCTCCAGTTTCTGGCACAGTACCTGGCACACAGAATGCTGTTAAGAAATGGCAGATGGAAGGGTGTGGCAGAAGACAACCCAAAGTCAGGTGGGCTGAGAGTCGCTGCTCAGGCTTGATTGTCATCATGTGACTTAACGAGCTTGGCCACGGGTAAAACTAAGTGACTTCTGTAAAAGCCTAGGAGGGGCCAACTCCTTTGGTCTGAATAGCATACACGGCCTATTCTTTTTTTTTTTTTTGAGTTGGAGTCTCACTTAGTCGCCCAGGATGGAGTGCAGTGGCACACTCATGGTCACTGCAGCCTCGATCTGCTGGGCTCAGGCGGTCCTTCTGCCTCAACCTTCCAAGCAGCTGGAACTACAGGCATGCACCACCATGCCTGGCTAATTTTTTGATTTACTGTAGAGATGAGGTCTCGCCAAGTTGCCCAGGCTGGTCTCAAACCCGTGGGCTCAGGCAGTCCTCTCACCTTGGCCTCCCAAAGTGCTGGGATTATAGGTGAGAGCCACCATGCTCAGCCTAAATGACCTATTCTACTTGGATGATCTGGTAGAAGGGTGATCTGGAAAAGACTATTCTAGAAGCAGATCAGAGATTTCAGATCAGTTTTAGAATTGACCAGGGCCTGGAAGGATCCTCTTGTCTGGTAGGAACCACTCAAGCCAACCTTTATGTATGCTAGTCCCATCACTAGGTCAGGAGTGGATCAAGCATTGAGAGCAGGGAGGCAAACAGTTCCCAGGCAGCATCTCCCCAGGGCCCGCCCCAGGACAGAGCATGTGAGAGGTATGCTTGTGCCGGGACCTTCTCACCAGCACTGATGCTGACGGGTGGCTCAGAGTCAGGCAGGGGAAAGCACCAGGACCCTCCATAACATCCATAAACCCCAACCCAATGGTACCTATCCTGTGAAGATAATCACACTTGAAAAAAGTACCTGACATTTCTGTCTCACATATAGCAAAAATAAAAGCATCTATAGAAAACTTTTAAAAACCTATTTTTATGACCTAAAACGTACAACTAAGTTAAAAACAAGCAAAAAGTATGCCTGCCTCCAACTCAACTTCAAGCCAGGTCCTTTAGACACCTGTCCTGGCTCTCTCTGGTCATTATGGCAGCTCTGGAGCTGCCACAGCCTCTGACCCTCCCCTCCCAAGGACAGTGTTGCTGACCTGTCGGCACAAGAGTTGTACTTGACCATGCTCAGCATGGCAGCCATGATGAAGAACATCAGGATAGGGTCGAGGAGGATGTACTGGGACAGAGTAAGGCATCCTGTGTCTGAAAAACATGAGCACACTGGTGAAAAAGTGGGGTCAAGAAGGGGCCCCAGAAGACCAAGCACCCCAGCAGTAGGAAACAGTCCCCCTCCCCATTTACTGCATGTAAGCATTTGTGCAGTCAAGACTATATGGGCCATGAGGTTTCACAAAAGTTATCAGGGAGGTAGAAGGCTGCAGCTTAGGCGTACATCAAAGCCCAATGACAAGAAACAGTGTCTCACACTGCCTGTAGGTCCTCATTCCAAGAGATGGTCATGCCATTCGCTCAGAGCAGTCCTGACACAAGGTCTCTTTTTCCTTTCCACCATCAAAAAGGAGTTCTGCCGCCCTGCTTATGGAGCCGCAAGCTACCTAGGATGGACTCTTATCATTCTACAGAGTCCCTATTGGGAATGGGTTCTCCATATAGGTCCAGAGTGATTTTTTAGAACTCAGATCTCATTACATCATGCCCCTGCTTAAACCCTCCAATGTCTTCTCATCTCACTCAGACTAACACATTCTCATAGCAGCTGCCAAAGCCTATATGGTCTCCCTATCCATCTGACCCCACCTCCTGATACCCTTGGCCTCACTCAGTTCTGTAGTTCCTGGACCCATAGAGGCTTGTGCCAGAACTACCACATACACTCTTCCCTCTGCCTGCTGCTCCTCCCTCAGGCTCTGCATGGCTTGACTCTTGTTTCTTGCAGGTCTCTGCTCCAAGCTATCTTCTCTGCAGCTCTTCCTGGAGCCCCTCCCTGAAACAGCACTGATCTTCACTACCCCATCCCTCACTCTGCTTCACTGTCCACATTGCACTTAATGCAGACGTGTTAATTGACTTGCTTATTTGCTGTCTGCCCTACGAGAGGGTGAGCTCTGTGAGAACAGAGCGTCTCATCAGTGTAGTCTCTGAAGCCAAGACAAGTGGTCTGGCACAGGCTAGGTGCTAGAGAATAATCACTCGATGAAAATGAATGAATGAATGAATAACTGAAGATGGAAATTAAAGGTATGAGGAAAAGCCACTAACCTCTACAGAGAAAGTCGATAATTTTGCAATATATGTGTCAAAACAAAGCAACATATCTGTCAAAGCAAATCCCTAAGATACCCATCTATATTGGTCTGGACTTCTCTAAATGTTAAGCTCCACGAGGTCATGAATTCACTTTCCTAAGAACAAGACCAACTTCTGAGATCAACTCTCGTTTATCCAAATGAAGACTATCCACATTCTGCTCTTCCCCACTACCCAACTACTTCTGGGGCATTTGCCCTTGTATTCAGTTGAAATTAGTTTAGGAAGTGCAAACTTGTCTTAATATTAACCTAAGAAAAGCAAAATTAGAATTATAAGCTTCCTTCAAACACACACACACACACACACACACACACACACACACACACACACACACACACATCTCATCATCCACTCCAAACTCAAATGTGAATAACCTGAAGTGAATCTATGCCTTGGGATTACCCCTGCCCAATCTCCACTCCAGTGGCAGAAAGTCTTGCTATGGACAAGCATCTACGTATGCAATATTACTAGTGAATAAAATGAGATCTGGAATAAACACATTTTACCCAATCCTAAAATTAAGTAAGAACTGGGCCCACAAATAGGACCCTTGAATGTACTGATTTCCAGCTACATGCACAGTGTGGTAGCCCATTTCCCAAAAACCACAGTACGTGTGAGACAACTCACCAAAGGTGAGGAGGGCAGCGGTGAGCAGCGCTGCTGGCAGGGACTTGGACAGGTTCAACACGGTGAGGTAGGCAAAGGGGATCAGCCAGGAACCGAGGAATGCACAGAACTATGGGAGGAACAGAGACACTGTCATAACAAGCTACGCATCAGAGACCTACTTGGTACAAACTAAGGTTTAAACAGAGGACCCTGAGGAAAGCATGACTTGGTGTCCTACAACCACCCAGAGCATCTACATATAAGAAAGACGTGGTGTCACTGGGAAGAGTCACTTCAAGCAAGATACATGTTCCACTGAGCAACAACCTGTGCACGGACAGGAAATCAGTTAAGTTCAGCCAGGAAGATGTGGGCAGGACTGCCCCGTCACCGCTAGCTGTGACCTTGGGAAAGTCACAACTCTCTATCTCAACCTCATCTGTGCAATATGAAAAATAAGAGTTCCCACTGCTAGGATTAAAGAAGCAAAGTGTTATCAACACACAGAAAGTAACTGAGAAACATTAGCTTCTATTACAAAACTGTGAGTACACATTGAGAAAGATACAAAGTTAAGATTTCCACAGCAAATCCACAATGAGTCAGGCCTATATCCAATTATGCATGCTATGTAGTATTCAAAAAGTCATTAGGAAAACACAGAATGGGCTGGGCACCATAGCTCATGCCTGTAATTCCAACACCTTGGGAGGATGAGATGGGAAGATCGCTAGAGGCCAGTAATTTGAGACCAACTTGGGCAACAAGGCAAGACCTTGTTTCTAATACTTAAAAAAAAGCCATAGAATGCCTTAAGAATATCAACTGGAGGGTAGAAGACACTCCTTGTTTAATAGGTGATCTTGGGAAAGTCACATCTCTCTGTCTCAACCTCCTCATCTGTGCAATGTGAAAAATAAGAGTTCCTATCACTGAGGTTAAATAAGCAAGTGTTATCAACACACAGAAAGTAACTGATAAACATCAGCTTCTATTACAAAACTGTGAGTACATATTGAGAAAGACCTCTCTGAAGGTCATGCAAATCACCCAATGATCAGCCCAAAGCCATTTATCTAAAATGATGTGAGAGCCTCAAGGAAGGGGCTTGTAAGAACAAACTTCTCTGAGACCCCCCCACATTGGAGGCCAATTTCTGCAGGTTTCATTCAGCTACACGTTCAGGGTTCCCGGTGCTTCAGGTGCTTTGGTCCTACTGTGCTCCATCAAGGCTGGTGCTGGAATGAAGGTACAGAAGCACTGGAGCAGACACATGGCCTTCCTTAAAATATAGCGGGGAAACTCCTATATGCTCCTGAAACCTTCACGGAGAAGAAAGCAGGAACCTAGTCACAGGGGTGTGGGAATGCCAAAATCTTAAGACAGGCTCTTAGAAGCAGGCAGGACTCCAGCAGCTGTGGCTGCAGAGCGGAAGAGCATGCCACGTGCCAGTGTACCACAGCGACATCAGGGCTGCAGGGGATCCCACCTGCCTGGGTCCTGGCCACTCTTCAACCTGAGGTCCAATAGCACACAGGCAGGCACACTTTCTCCTGTCATGCAATCTCTGCAACAGTTGTGGCCTCCCCTTCCCTTCTTCCCACCTCAGTTCTGAGTCTCAACACCCGGGGAAGATCCAATCATCCTTCCCCCTCCCCACCACCCCAAAGTCCTTTCATCTACACCTGCCACCACTCCAGGGTTTGGTCAGTCTAGATCAAGTCAGGAACCTTACTCCTCTCATTCCCAAGTAGCTGTGATGTTCATATTTGTCCCCAGGCTTCTGGAACAAAAAGGTACCATCATATCCACTCAGGTAGCCAGCAAGGCCTATCAGCATCTGAGGAGAGAAGAGAGCAAACAAAAAGATAAGAGCCCTTGGGAGAAGGTTCCTCCGCCCCCCTTAGCTTCCCTCTACCTGCACCCATGACTGGCTTCCCTTGACAACTGTCCACAGAGAAAGTTGCCTATGTGACATTTTCTCCTGCAGCTGCTACAGAGCAAAGACTCTGTTGTCTATAGAGCTTACTGCATGAAACAAATCCTCTCTTGTGTTACAGCCAAGATCATGGGAACAGTGCAGACCAAACACTTAGGAAGAAAAAAGAGCCCCACAATTTGCAGGACAGTAAGTGAGGGCACCCTCATTCAGGCTGCCTCCATTTGTAATGAAATAAAACATGGCAGCTCTTGAGTCATGAGCAGAGGCTGATTCCTGGGAGAGTGGCCTTTCGAAAGGAAGTGAGATTCCACGTCATGAGGAGAGAGCAAAGTGTCCAAGCAGTTACACACCAAGAATAGAGAGAAGGGAAGAAGAGCGAGAGGAGTGTGAGGCAGACGCCCATCCCCAAAGGAAAAGAGAAACACTGCCCTGAGGCCAAACTGGCTTCTCCTCGCGCCAGTGCTCCCCAGGAAGACAACCTTGGCACTTCCCAAACCAGAACACACCAACTACAAACTGAGCTGTGAGTCACGAATCCTTCAAAACACTTGAGAAGATCAGCCTCGACCTGTATGTATATCCTTGGCCATCAGTACCGAAAAATTCTCTAAAGTATAAGGCAGCTGAAGTATCTCAACTGCCATGGTGACAGTCCAGGCGGCTCCAGCCTGACCCCTGCACTCTGGCCAGGCTGTTGGAAGGGGACAACGCATAGTGTGGGGAAAACCCCCAGCAACACTGCTTCTGGGGCTTGGATGTGGGCCACTCACCCACGCACATTTTTCTCTAAGTAGCTGTATAAACAAAGCCACTCTCTATAGTGCCAAGCCAAGACAGAGAAGCCAAGGTTCAGCAGAAAACAATTAAAAAGCTTGTTTTAAAAAGGAGAGAAGGAGGGAATCCTAGGAGCCAGAAGTTAATTTAATGTAACCAATTTAACATAAAGCAAGAGAAGGTATTGAAGACAGGGTCCTCAAATACCTAGATGAACTAATACTGACAGGTGACAACCAAATGGACCGCCCTTACCGCCTGGGCCTCAGAGGACAAGTCTGCCTGGTGCCGCTCACAGCAGCAGAGAGATGGTTTGGCTCTCAGAGTCCCACACACTAGCTCTCTGATCACGGACAGCACTCACAATCTCTGAGCTACAGCTCTTGAAGCCTTCCTTGCAGGAGTTCTGAGGCTTGGGGGGATGCTGTGAGTAAAACACCTAACACTATGCAGGCACTCAGCAGGTGCTCAAGATTCAGTTTTGTTTCAGTTCCTGTAAGGTTAAAAGTAGCCCTGAGCTCACTTCCTAATGAAACAATTCATTCAAATCAATAGCAAAAGATGAACCACCTACTAGGAAAAGGGAAGATTCATGGTAAACATAATACAAATGGCTAACAAACAGGGAAAAATGATCAACCTAACTTGTCAAGATATGCAGATGAAAACAGTGACACACCATTTTTTACTCTCCAGTTGATGAAGTCTTTAAAGTGTGATCAGCCCAGTGCTGGCAACGTGTGGGCAAGAAAGAACCTTCATATGCTGCTAGTGGGAGTGCACAGCATTACAATATTTTTATAGGAAAACTTAGCAATATCTAACTCAATTCTTTGTTTAGACTGGAAAACATAGTTTATTTAGAAAGTAAATTAGAGAGAGAGAGAGAGAGATAGGGGAGATTCACCTCCCCAAGGTAGGGGAGGGGACCAAAGCTAAGGAAACATGGCCTAGCCAGTGCTCAAAGAGCCAAGTGACCACACCAGAGTTTAACAAAGCAATGCCCCCCAATTTTTTAAAACTAATTATTTTTTTAAAGACAGAGTCTCTCCCCGTCGCCCAGGCTGGACAGCTCACCGCTGCCTCAACTTCTTGGGCTCAGATGATCCTTCTGCCAGAGCCCAAGTATAGGTGCATGCCACTACACCTGGCTAATTGTATTTAACTCCTAGGCTCAAGCAATTCTCCCTCTTCAGCTTCCCAAAGTACTGGGATTACAGGCATGAGCCACCACACCCCTAACACAATTTTAAGTATGCGAATCCTTTGATTTTTAATTTGGCTGCTGGGGTTCTTTCAGCTACACCTGCACAACTACACAGACCCATATGTACAAGGATGTTCGCTGCAGTATCTTGTGTAAAGACTGGAAAAGCATACATGTCCCCCAGTTGAAGACGGTTTGGAAAGCAACTCCGGCGCATCTGTGTAATGGGACGACAGGCAGCCAGTAAGAAGAATGAAGTGTATCTTTAAGTGCTAATACGGGAAGAAGTTAAGACAGATCGTGTTTAAAATACAAGTTGCTGAACAATTGCAGTATGATCCCATCTGTGTTTTTAAAAAGGACTGTGTGTGTACACAATGTGTTATTTGTATGTACATGTATGAAAATACACACACTTATATTTGTATAAGAAGCTCCTGAAAGGATATATAAGAAGATGTTTACAAATATGCCTACAACTACCTCTAAGAACTAGAAACGTGGTGGACAAAGCTTCTGACCTTCTGCTTCCTCCTGTATTGCCTGCAGTTTTTGCTCTGGACAGGCGTGTTAACTTTTTTTTTTAAGTTCTGTCTGACCAGAGCTCCCAAGCGCCCAGGGCTAGGGCCAGTATGAAGTGGCTGGTGTCAGTCTCAGTAGTGCTTTTGACTCTGACTGCTTGACCTCAAAACCTGTGGAAGATACTTTGTTCTCTCACAGGTTTCCAATTTACTCATAACTCTCTTTCAACCAGACAGAACACAGAACCATCAGGAGATAAGTTAGGGGTACAAAGGGACCACACTCCCTGGGGCAGCCTTATAAAGAAGCCTCACCTTCTCCCTTCACACAGGGGTCCAGATACACAGGGGGGAAAGCTGAAGTAAATTAAACAAGTCAGGCAGTCTTTTCCACACTCTTACAGTGTGCTGAGCACCAGGAAACACCAACAAGGATAGGCAGTCCCCAGCTGAAAGGTTGGACTGAGTTTTCTAAGAAAATCTCCTCTACCAGAGATCTGGTTCCCAGGCTAGCCTGGGGAAAAAATTCCACACAGTCTACTACTTAATTCTAGAGAGGTAATAGATGTAGTCCAAGTAGTGTGGCAAGAAAAGTCCATGAGGCAAGTGTGGGTAAGACAGCAGGCTCTAAGCCGGTCTGAACCTTGACCTGCCGCTTACTGGCTTTGCTCCCTGTGGCAAACTACGCATCTTGTTCCAGGTTTCCCACGTGCTACATGGGGATACAATCCCTATTCCATAAGTGCTGAGGCTTACAAGAGCTAATGCATCCAAAGTGCCCAGAACAGACCGTCTAATCGCTTTGCTTGCTCTTGCTGCTATGTTATAGAGGAGTAAGAAAGAGGTGTAACATTTTCTACTCCTTTCCCGGGCTCAGACCAATTCTCAAACAGGCCACCTGTCCCACTTCCCCCAGAGCCCTATGACTGGCAGGGCCCTCTTCCTTGGGTCCCACCCTTTGCTTTCACGCTTCCCTAAGCCCACCTGCCACAGAGCCCTGGCCCTTGCCTTCCTCTCCAAGTACTACCTGCTCTAAGATCACTGCCCTGCTTGACCACAGGCAAATTCCTGTCCCTTTGGAGTCCAAGATCTCAGCCTCTAGTCAGGAAAAAAGGCTTGAGTGAATGCCAGGCTGATCGATAGCCTGCTCAGAGGTGTCTGTTTTTAAAAGAGTAAAATGAACTCTAATTGGTAGAACTTCTAGCTGTAAAACATGTGAGAGGAGCAGGCAAAGCACTGTGCGTGCTGGGAGTGGCGGAGCAGCTTACTCTCATGTGGACACCAACTCCCTGAGCAATTTCCACTTTATGCAATGTATCCCTCCTATTTCTCTTTTCTTTTTAAAAATTGAGGTGAAACTCACATAACATAAAATCACCATTTTAAAGTATACAATGAGTGCTTTTAAGTATCTTCACAAGATTGCTCAATCATCATCACTACCTAATTCCAGAACATTCAGCACTCCCAAAAGAAACCCCACACCCATCTGCAGTCATTCTTTAATCCTCCCTCCCTCGCTCCCCCTGATCCTGGCCACTCATCTACTTTCTGTCTCTATGGATTGGCTAATTCTGGACATTTCATATAAATGGAACTCTACATATGTAATCTTTTGTGTCTGGCTCCTTCCATTTCACATGTTTTTCAGGTTCATTTATGTTGTAACACGTATCGGAAACTTTATTCCTCTTTATGGCCAAATAATATTCCACTGTGTGGATATACCACTTTTTTGTTTCCCCATCCATCAGCTGATGGTCCCTCTCTTTCTCTCTTTCTGAGCCCAGAGGACCCATAAAAACCCCAAAGATTTTCCATGCAAGTATCTGGTCTAGAATGTCAGGGAATTCTTTGTGCAAGCCCCAAAATTCAATCCAAATCTGAGACCCAGCCCTGCCCTCCCAGGTTAGAAGCTGCTGCTCCCCATGCTGCTCACCTTTCCCAGAGGCGGGTGCACATCAAAGAAAAAGGTGCGGTTGATGTAGTAACTGCCCATCTTTCCAAAGTGTGTCTCATCCCAACTGAAGGAAAAAAGAAACAAGTGAGAACTTTTAAGTGATCATAAAACCAAGCAGACTTAACAAAGTAGGTTACAACTGAAGTTAAAGCAAATGGCTATGAGTTTCAAGCTATCAACGTGGAAGTTTGGATCTTTTTTTTTTTTTTGAGTTGGAGTCTCACTCAGTTGCCCAGACTGGAGTGCAGTGGCCGCTCCCGGCCACTGCAGCCTCGCCTGCTGGGCTCCGGCGATCCTTCCACCTCAGCCTTCCGAGTAGCCAGAATTACAGGCATGCGCTACCACGCCCGGCTGATTTTTTTATTTATTGTAGAGATGAGGTCTCGCTGCCCAGGCGGGTCTCGAACCTGCGGGCTCAGGCAATTCACTCACCTCAGCCTCCCAAAGGCGTGGGATTACAGGCTGAGTCACCGAGCTCGGCTGAAGTTTAGATTTTTAAAAAAGTTTTTGACACAAGTGATTTAAGGAAGCAAGACAACAAGCTGGTTATTTACCTTCATTTAGACACAAGAGGATGGTTAATAAATACTTACCAACCAGTTGTTATAACCTGAATTAAATATACATAGACTTACTCTGTATTTCAAGTCTCTGACTATTTATTTTAAAAGGGCCAAGAGTTTTCCTTAATATGGAAAGGTCTGCAGGAAGAGTTTTCTTCCAAGTCTGTTAACTTTCGAGACTATGTTAGCTACTGGAGGGTGCGTTACTGCATTGCTGGGTGACAGGTCTGAGATGGCGACCGCGACTGCCACAGGAGTCTGAGTCTGCTCAGCAACCTTGTCTGTGAAGCCTGCTGACTGTACTCTGACTGATCTTACTGTAATGAACTAACCAGTGCATAAAAATGGAGAGTTTTCTGGCTAAGTTATGATCTAAAACCTCTCCTCATTGCCCAAGTTATTTTGCAAGTAAATAAGTGATTCTAATCCATTAGCTTTCAAACACCATGTGAAGTCTTATTCTTCTAGGCAACCACACAAATATTTTTACACCCTCTGTGAGGGCTTTAGGAAGACAACCAAGTCATCCCATAGAGCCTGGCCATTTCTGTTGGTTGTTTTCTTCCCAGGTTACTGTCTAGTGACCATCAACACCCAGGTCACCAGCAATAATTACTTACCAGATGAGTAGCAAAATATGCTTTACCGCCAAATGTAGAGTGCTTTTTTGTTTTATTCAGTGGGTTCAACAGATAAGCAGAAGACTAAACCTGCTTCCACATCTGCCAAGCAAACTGTTTGACATGTGGTGAGGACAGTGGCACGGCGATGTCAAAGAGAGAAATAACGTCAAAATGGTGTGACAAACAGACCTGCAGAAAGAGCACCGCAGGCCAGGCTATGTCACTCACGTGGGCCCTTGCTGACAGACCCTTCCCTCTCCACTCCTCATCTACACAGTCAGGACAATCCCAGCATGTGCCACAGCCCTCCAGGAGGTACAAGGTTCTGCACAGAGACGCATGGGAAAGACAGTCACTGTGAAGCACCACGCCTGCAGGGCACTGCTGAATCTGTCCCAACACTTGTGGTTAGCTCTCAAGCCTGTATGGAAACACTAACAAAGGGGCATGAGCTTTACTTCAGAAGTTTCCCAAGGAAAACCGGCAGCGGCATTCCTGATTCCTCTTGGCTGCTGCCACATGTCTGTGTGGGGAGTGACCATTCCCCACCGTGGCTCTCCTGTGCCCTCTCATGTTCCTATGGCCTCAAGGGGGATGCCAAGCATGCAAAGTCCTGCCTGACCTTACGGAGGTCATCTCTCAGGGTTATGCATGCAGAAACAACCTTGAGGGAAGCCTCAGTGCCTGCCATGGAACAGAGAGCAGGCTCGCCTGCTGCTTACTATACAACAGCAGATTCCCCAAGGTCAGTATCACTGTGCCATGCCACAACACAGATAAGCATTCACACAGACACACGGCAGCACCTGGGACTTCCAAGGCGAGGGGATTGACGCCAACATGCTGACACTCATCCTGCTCGCGGCGCCCCAAGAAATAAAGTCCTCCATCTCTGACCCAGGACTTTGTCTCCTACCAGCATCCATAAAACAGTGACAGGCTGATTTACCAGCTTGCATGTAGGCTAGATACAATCCTAGACCCTGACAGTTTGCGGGACAAGCATAGGAGGATGAGAAACATCTTCCTGTAGGAGAAGGGATGATGGCCTCCGTGGGCGAGCAGAAGGGTAGGAAGACCCCACCTAGGGACCCACCCACTGGAGACACTGCAAGGGGAGATGTAGGATTGACACAGCTGTGTAGACACAGCCTTGGTTGTTCCCTGTCCTTGGGTACGGGGCAGCAGGCCCAGCCACCCCAGCCGAGGCAGTGTGGGTGTGACTGTTAATACAAGAACCCTCCAAGGCACCTGTGTTCAACACAATGAGTAAAATGGAAACACGGAGACCTCGGTGAGCACGTGCTCAAGCCAAGGGTCAATGAGCCATGGGGCACCCACCGGCTCAGGGCCATCTCTCCCTCCAAGTCCTTCCCACTCTACCACAACCTCAGCTACTACCAAGAGTAAGATGCTTACAGTTGGGCCAAGGTCTCGGTGTCTCCAAAGGGAACTTAAGGCCATGCCCCATCTCGTCCTACCATGCTGGAGAACTCCAGGAAGAGAGGACTTCAACTCAGGGCTCTGCTGGACTCAAGAGCCCACACTCCGCCCTACCCAGTCCCACGGGGACAGAGCGGCTATGCACGGAGTCACCAAAGGCACTAAGGACTGCAGGGGGGAGCAGTGGCACTATGAAAGGAACTGAAAGAAAAAGGGCCTCTGAGTCCAAAGACTCACCAGACACAGGGAGCAACTTGCAGAGCAAACGAACCACAGTGTTGGGACAGTTTCTCCCGTGATGCTCCCTGTGCGAGGCCTGGCAAGGGGCTGAAGGAGGAAAACGCTTACCGCTCCTGCACCCAGCACTCCCCCACTCTCTGACTGGGATGTGGCATCGCCTCTGGGCGGCTGTCACTATAGCCCCTAACACAGGCCTATTAGATGCTTCAGTTCAAAGGGAAAGAAGTGCCCAAATTCTACTGATAGAGTTTCAGTCAAGATCCCTGTGGAGAAGGGAAGTTAAAGGGACCTGGCAGGTAGGGCCGTTTGGGTCCCTTCGATGTACTAACTGTGGCTTCCACTGCTGAATGTGTAGCTGGTATTGATCCCGTGAGTGTCAAGGAGGATTATCCTGTTCATGGACTGCTGCATATAGACAGGTGATCCTGACCCTTCCTGGTAGTCCAGGAGAAATAATACACATCCCTAGAAGAGAATGGGAAATCACAGCTTTAAAAATCTAATGGCTGCTGGAGCAGGTAGGCCATCACCAGGATAGTGGCACCATCTGCTGGACACAGGCACCAAGTACACTCTTTTTAAAGGGCAGTGATTAACCTACTACTAAATTCTTCAGAGCTGACTGCCTGACCCATGATGGCTTCAGGACTCTGGCCTAATATTACCACTGTGGGGTGGGTTAACATGGAATCTACTGCTAACAAGGGAAGGGTTCAACAAGACTCACTTTCTGCGACCGAAATGGCATATTCAGGAGTATAGCTGGTAATCCCAGCTACTTAGGAGGCTGAGACAGGAGGATCACTTGTGGCCAGGAGTTTGAGATCAGCCTGAGCAACATAGTGAGACACTATCTCTAAAAAAATTGTTTTAACTAACTAGGTGTGATGGCATGTGCCTGTAGTCCCAGCTACTCAGGTGCTGAGGCAGGAGGACCACTTGAGCCCAGCAGTTCAAGGCTGCAGTGAGCTACAATTGCACCACTGCACTCCAGCCTGGGCAATACAGCAAGACCCCAACTCTTACAAAATGAAAGAGTACTCCCTGTCTGGCCCTAGCAGCATCTTAGTTTTCCATGAAGAAATGGCAGCTCTCCCTTTGGGAGAAACTCTCTTCTGCTCCACAACATGAAGACCAGCCTCTGGTTCGGCAGGGCCCTGGTTCACAGGGTCCCCCAAATGCTGTGCGTGTTCATAGACAGTCAGGCTAAGTTAACAGCTGATGGTGTCTACTGGGCAGAGAAGCCGTCCAGCCCCCATGACAAGCCTGGATGGCAGGAAAGGCTAAAGCATCTGGTGTGCCACTCGGAAGACTAAACGCTGAGAGAGGAGGCCCACTGTGAGGAAAATCACGGCCACCTGCCAATGGAACGGCCGGGTCACTCCCCGATGCCCACCGGAGGGGCCGATTCTCAGAGAAGACCGGCGAGAATCAGGCTGCCGATCAAGCCTGCACCACTGAGAATGCCGCCACAGCCCCTGAACTCAGATGCCCCTGGCGTGGAAACATGTCTACCATCATGGACTGGGCACAAAGTAAAGGAGGCAGAAACCACTGCCACGTACCAGACTGCGCCTCCTTCCAAGAGCTGGCCTGCTCGTCTTGCAGTGAAAGAAACCGCACTGCAAGGCGCACTGACCCTGCCTGCTCCTGGGAAACTGACTGCCTTAGGACTTCCTGCCCTTCTCGGGGTTATCCCTGGGGCTTCCATTGGTACCTCGCTACTGCTGATACCTCTTCAGATTACAATGCTAATGTTGCTGTTCCTGCCCCATCCTCCAACTCTAGCAAGACCACTGTGGCCCTTGGAACTGACCTCTGTCATGTTTTCAGTCTTGTAAGCCATCTGCAGTCTGACATGTCTATTGATCACCATGGGCTGATAGTCAAGGCATTCGATGCACGTCCAACACTCCCTACCATCGCCAGGCATCTGACATTGTCAAGCACTGAAGAGTCTCCCCAAAAAGCAACTCAGAAAGATTTCTGACCCTGCCTCCCTCATCTCCTCCTGGTCTACACACCGTACTAAAGCAGGCTTCTCCCCACTGCAGTCGTCAGTATCTCCTCTTGGCCACCAACTGGGTGATGATCAGGAAAGAGGGGAGAGCGTTACATAAACCTATTTATAAAATTTGAGATTTTTCCCTGACCACTCCTGGACACCATTCATCCTTCTTTCCCCAAGCAGAAACCCCCGATCAACCAGGGGAGGGAAGTGTCTGTGGACTTAAGACTTAATGCTAGTTCAGTCACCTGGATTGTTTTGTTGGAGTGGCATGGTCCTAGAGACAAAAATAAGCATCACTTGGTTGTGTACAGTGCTCTTCAAGTCCCTCCACAGTGGCCTGCATTCCATTTCAAGGTGGAAGACATAATAGGCCTCTGTCACTTTTCTAACAAAAAAGTCTGGATATTGGTATGGGATGACTGGGAAAAGGATAAAGTTATGGATATTAGGGTGGAACACACTCATTATGAGGGAAATAAATTATGAGGGAAATAAATGAGGGAATGGAGGGAAATAAATGAGCCCAATGTCCAGGTAAGGAACATCTTAGACTCCTGGAGACATAAAGAAAAGGAAAACAGTTCATGCTCCCTTTGTCTCCCAGGTCTAGCACAAAGCCTGCCCAAACACTCACATGGTCATTCTAAGTCAAGCAGCAACTGGAGCTGGCAATCTGACTGGCCATGTGGCAAAGTTTGTCATCACGCCATGAAAACAGAAAAACTCACATGGACACGGGCAGACTATTCCATATGCCTGATGACATCAACACCAGCTCCCTCACAGGTGTGCAAACACAAAGATCAGCACAACCTCCTATCAATGTGACTGATCGCCTGACATCCTAGGGGCCTCACTTAGGTTGTGCCTTGCATAGTGACTGAGGTGGCAACTCTTCAGTGACACTGTCCATGTGGCTTAATCAAACCACTGTTAATGGTCATCAAATTCGATGTAACCCAAACAAAATGTAATAAAAAGTCCTGGATGACCTATACCCTTGAGGTAATATGTCAGCATGTAAGGAATGGGCTAAGAAATGTCTTTCCATTGGGCATGGAAGTTGCACCTTTTTTTTTAACACGGTGGGGTGCATTTTAATTATTGACAATGACACTAAAGATCAGAAGTCAATCGAAACTGGACACAGGTCATAATGGTGAACAGACTGGCCTTAGACTGCATTCAGCTGTCTGAAATGAGAGTCCTAGGCCCCCAGGACTGATTCACAGGAAGCTGGTCTAGACACGGAGGGCAGGGTTGAGGTAAATCCTGTAGGTTGGCCTCATCCTGCTGCTTAGAGTCCCACTGACAACAACCTAATTAAATGTTGTAAGAGACAAATGGAAAAGATTTGGTCCCTGCCTCTGTCAGTCAGGTTGATCAAGTAGCCAGTGGAGGTGTACATTCATGTGAAATCTGCTAGAAACCAAGACAGTGTAGAATGGAGGGAGGAGAGAGACTGGTGGGTCTCTCATATATTTCCACACATCTTCCTGGGTATGCCAAGAATGCAAAGCCCTACCTGTAATTCACCTGAACCTTTCTTAGGTTATGTTTGCAGTAAGCAGCCTTGAGTGATGAAGAAAAGTCTCCCTCTAGGACAAAGAGCAGGTCTGCTCATTGCCTGCTATAAACAATGGCCTCCCCATGCCTGTCCCTCTGCCTTGATGCAACCCCCTGCGTTTGCAGTCATTCCCCTGAGCCCACAGCAACAGCCTGCAAGACTTGGGGGCAAGGGAAACTGCCTCCAACATACAACTATTCATCCAGCTTCCTGCAACAGAGTCCTCTGTCTCTAACCCAAGGGCCTCATCTCTTCTGCCTGTGGTCATGAACCAAGAACAGGCTAATGTATTTGTCTCCAAGTAGAGTAACCCCAACAGTGTGTTATCTTGACGGCTTTTTGGTCAAGGAGTTCCATTTCTGAAATCCTCTACAATAACTTTCTCCTCAGCCATACTGAGAAAATTCGGCATCACTTCTTAGCCACACAAATGAACCATTTTCAAGCTGCATAAAACTTTTCCTTCGTCCATGTAAAACCAAATTACTTTTTAGGCTTAGCTAATGAAATTTGATTCTGCCTCAACCCAGCATCTGAGTAATTTAAAAAAAAACCTTTAAGAAAATAAATCTCTTCACATAGGACAACTCCAGAGTTGCTTCCTATATCCCTTTGTCACCATTCCTGGACACCCAGAATGTGCCTGCTCTATAAGATGGAGGGACTCAGGAACTTGCCCTCTGCTGATGTCCGAAAAATCCTGCAGATTAGGAACTCAGGCCTTGGGAAGTTCGGTGCCACAAATTTCCAATTCTTTTTTTAAAGTTCAAAGCTATTTTATTTTTTGTCTTATCTTATTTTATTTTATTTAGAGTCAGAGTCTCACTCTGACATCCAGACTAGAGTGTAGTGGCACACTCATGGTCACCACAGCCTCAACCTGTGGGCTCAGGTGAGCCTTCTGCCTCAGCCTTTCATGTAGCTGGAACCACAGGCACATGCCACCACACCTGGCTAATTTTTTATTTATTTATTTTATTGTAGAGATGAGGCCACACCAAGTTGTCCAGGTTGGTCTCGAACTCCTGGGCTCAGGCAATCTTCTCACCTCTGCCTCCCAAAGTGCTGGGATTACAGACATGTGCCACCATGCCTGACTCAAAGCACCTTTCAAAGTCACAATATGAGAGCAGGTGGGACACTCCAGCATAACCTGGAAGGCATGATAACTGTTTCCTTCGATCTGAAGAACCTAAGTGCCCCCACCGGAGCAAAACAACTGGCCTCACAGAGACTGCTGGAGAGCATGCACCCCTAGCAAAGCTCTCTCTACCACAGAGGGGGCTGCTTCTCTCAGATTTTAGAGAGGAGAACAATCGACTCATTCTTGGAGTTCAGAAGCAAGTGCTGAGGGCAGCCTGTACTTGGTGGCTTTTCCCTGAAGCAACTGTGCAGAGCATATTTATTATTTGGGGGTGGCTCCGATTCCTACGCCCCATCGCTGGGCTGGAAGTTTTAACCAGGACACTTGACACTATTTGGATGCGCTTGGTTTGTGAAAAATGTTTAACTCAAATTCAGAAAGAGCACCGTCTAGCTAATTATGTTAGTGAGAAATTGGATGTGAGGAGACCTTTGCCACTTCTGAGTGTTAAGCCTAGATAAACAAGGGCACTGTGAAGAGAAATCTTGTCTAATTAGAGCTCTACTCCGAAACTATGAATGTGTTGATTTATAAGACTCAACTGTTCTCGTGTCAAACTTCTTTACTTAGAAAAATATGAAAATACACAGCCTGCGAATATCAATTCCTCTCTTAAAACTCCATTCACCTTGTTACCTCCTCGTAAAACCTTTTCTAAGTACTCCCTGGCCCCTCAGGAATAACCACTCCCTCCTCTGTAGCTCTTGCGTATAGATCACACATTTGTAAGAGCCAATATTTATCACTACGGATAGAATCATTATTATCCTGTGGAAACTTCAATGGCCCCTCCACCGAAGCCCCGCCCCTCTCCCGTAGGCCCCGCCCCCTCTGTGCCCCCGAGCCAATCACAGGGCGGCGTCGCTCTTCGCGGTTGCCATGGTGCCCCCCCGTGCCTCTCATCACTCACCAGATGTGCGGCGGCACGTCCAGTCGGTGGAAGCGGGTGGCGAAGGACAGGAGCGTCACCAGGGCCAGCAGGGCCCACCGGCCGGCCACCTCGCGGCGCCGCGAGCCCGGAGCGGGCCGTTTGGGGCTTCGCGCGGCAGCCTCGGCCCGGGCAGGCTGAGGCCCACGACGGGCCCCACGGGAGCGCGGCTCTGGCCCCGCCAGGAGCCCGCACGCGGCCGGCGGCATCCTCCCCCGCCTAAAGAACACCCTGCGGCCCCGGAGCACGCTAGGTTTCATCAGTCGCCCCGCCGAGGAGGCGCGGGAGGGCGGCTCAGGGCTCCCGGGGAGGCGGGGCGCGCGGCCCCGGGAGCGGGGCGGGGCGGGCAGCGCAGTGGCCGCAAGAAGGCAACCGGGGACGCAGAGCATGTCGGGACGGGAGGCAGGAGGCGGGTGACAGGGCGGAGACCCGCTCAGGGAACGGCCACGCCCAGCGGCGCAGGAGCAGGGGGCGGGGCTGG